TATCTCTGTGGCGCACGAGTGAAGGAGGTAGTTGTGGAAGGGGGAGGTCTGGCGCTGATGTTGAGCCAGTGTTGGAGAACATGATGTTGATCTGGTGTTATGTGATTTTTTTTGTCTTGAGCTCGAGAACTAGGTAGCGGCCATCCTTGATCTTCTTTTCTCACGATCAAGAAGACTAGCATGCTCAAGGACGACATCGTCGCTTCACTGTCGGGAGCGCACAAGGGAGGAGCATCAGAATAGTGGATGTGTGCGTTGTGAATTTTTAGTGTTTCAGTCCTTAAAATCATTTGTTTCATCTACTGATTTGACTGTGTTTCACTGTTTTTCAAGAATTGAAACATTTTTTCATTAACTGGAGCTTTATGGTGACCGGGCACCAAGTTTTAAATTGAGTATATACTTAATTCAATTGAGTATGAATTTTTTAAAAAATATATAGGTATAAACATTAACTTATTTACTAACTAGTTCAAACAAATTTGAACTGAATTTGAACATCTTTTTGTTAGATTTTGATTCTAGCTATATACTCCCTCCGTCCCCTAATATAAGGGATTTTGACGTTTTGCTTGCACTGTTTGACCATTTGTCTTATTCAAAAAATTTTGGAATTATTATTTTTTGGGACTTACTTTATTATCCAAAGTGCTTTAAGCATAACTTTTCGTTTTTTATATTTGCACAAATTTTTTTGAATAAAACGAGTGGTCAAACAATGCAACCAAAATATCAAAATCCTTTATATTATGGGACAGAGGGAGTAGCATCCAAATATATAATTAGTTAGGTATGTAATAATTGAATATAAAATAAAGTTGAATTTGAGATGTTTTGTCGCTAAGTATAGGTATGAATCAAATTTTTATGTCTAGATATATACTCACAATTTGAAAATTTTTAAAATTTTTGAGTGGATTTGTGTATTTTATATATATACCTGATAGTGGATCATCCAATATTAACCGGATTGAAAAAACAAAATGATTAATAAATAGATGATGTAACAATTCATGCATGCATGCAACTCGTAAATTAGTCCGCCTGTTGCATGCAAAGTAGTTAGATATGCAGAACGATTTTTGTTCTTCATAATATTCGGTATGTACCAGAACCAACGTTGAAAGAGCATATGCCTTTCCTTTTTCAGTATACGGCACATACTGTGTTTTTTTGTATGACTTAGTATGTGCTACGTATTAGATTTTTTGGTTGTTGAACTATATGCGTTTTTTTTTAATATCCAGTAGCAGTATATACTTTTTTTTTTATAATTGTGTTTTTGTTGGGGACTTGATATGATGATCCAAAAGTATCAGTACATCCTATAAGATGCAGAAGGTATCATATATTGAGATGAGAATATCTAGAATAGAAAAATATTTGAATGAGCCGCGGTTCTAATCTAGATATAAACGAAAGCATATACTACTAGTTCAGTATATACCACTTAAGATTACCAGGTAGGTACTGAACGATACATCCCTAAAATTCAAGGTGCATGTGCACATTGTAGCATGCAATCCATGAGACATGTAATTATTTTAAGGATCCAGTATAGTAGTATATATTTTCAGTTAGTACTAGAATATACCTTTTTGCTTAGTAGTATAGCAGTAGTATATCCTTTTTTTTATTTAATAGCAGTATATACTTATTTTTAGTTAGGAGTAGTATATACTTATTTTTCAGTCAATAGCAGTATATACTTATTTTTCAATTAGGAGTGGTATATACTTATATTCAGTCAATAGCAGTATATATTTTTTTAGATAGTAGTACATACTGAATTTTAGCTAGTACTACATACTTATCTTATCTTTTTTAGTTAGTAGTATATACTGATTTTTCGTTAGTAGTACATACTTATTTTTTAAGTTAGTAGATAGTATATGTACTCATTTTAATTAGTTCGTACAAGTATCTACTGTCTTTTTCAATTAGTAGCAGTATATACTTACTTTTACATAATATACATACTTTCTCTGTTTCACAATGTAAGTTATTTTAGCATTTTTCACATTCATATTGTCTAGATTCATTAACATCAACATGAATATGGGAAATGTTAGAATGACTTACATTATGAAACAGAGGGAGTAACATATAACAGCTGCTACATGCAAGTATGATGATTCAAGTATCAGTATGTTCTCAAAGATACGAGAAGGCAACATGTACATTTCCAACAGAAGAACTAGTCGTCATTGACATTAGTAAAAACAGAATTTCCATGAAAGATGTGTAGTAATTTAGGCTAACATTGAAACATTATACGCTGATTAAAAAGAACGTACAATCCTAATTACAGTTTCTAAACAAAGACCCTTCCCTAATATTCACCATTTACTGATGCCGCCGGATTGCTTTCTTTGGGTCGGCATGAACAGCCACCGGCCAGCCGTCAGACCACAGGCAACATCTATACATAGAAAAACAGAGCTCAACCATTATATACGTGTCGCTTCTACAAGGAGTTAGGGAGCTTCATCATTCCACAGACTAAAGAATATACAGAATTATGAAAAAAAAATGCAGCAGACCACTCATAGGGATCATAAGAAATATACAAGAGAATCATCGATCTGCATCAAAGGCAATTAATTAAGATGGGACGGTGTGATTAAGAAAGGTGATTACACAATGAATCAAGAATTAAGAACGGTAAAAAACACTGTTACATGCATGGGTTCCTGAATAGCCGGCGGAGAAACCAAATCTGAAGACGCCGTGGGATGTGGGAACGGTGGATCCCCTGGAGTTGGACTCAACTCCACCGAGTGGATTTCACCTAATCTGGACCGTTTGTCTTTTTCTAGGGTCATGATTAAGCCAGGGTGGTTCTTATTCTGTAGTACCTTACTCGTTTGTTACACTATCCCGAATTGTTAACAAGAACCGCGCGTCGAGCTCGAGCACACATCAGGACATCGATCAAGAATTCAGGGCCAATTACAAAACGGAGAAGACACGGTTGAGCTGAGATCACCTTGCAGTGGTAGTGGAGCACAGGAGCGGCAAATAATGGTGGTGGCTGAGATCACTAGCAGAACATGAGCAAGCGCTCGGCGGTGTGGTGCCGATGTGTCTATTTGGTTGACAAGTGGTTCAGCCGCCGGCTGGAATGGACGACCGGCAAAGTTACTGCATTTTTGGACATGCAGTTCACTGGAGCAACACCGCCGTGACGCGTACGTGTATGCATGACAGTGCACGAACATGATTATCACGGTAGCGATGCCACTGGTGTCGGTCATCACTGCGATTTAAACTGATTATAAGGGTTGTTAATTAGAAAAGATGATCTCAGCCATAGAAGTAAAAGAATGGCTCAGATTAGGTGAAATCCACCCGGTGGATTTGCCTGCAACTCCAGGTGATCCAGACCCGAGAAGGGTGGGATGGGCGATGGCACCCACAACCGAGATAAATTTGTTGTCCCTGCCGATGGATCGCCCTATACCACCAAATCATTAATGGCTCCAGGCATCCGGCCGGCCGCCGCCATCGTCGAATCACCAATTTATTATGCTGCCGCCTCCGAGTAGGATGAAAACGGATCGGAAACTAGCTTTATCATATTCGTTTTCATATTCTTTTTGATCGGAATCGGAATCGAAAACTCGGATACGGAAATAAAATCGAATATTATCGAATACAGATACGGAGCGAATACGAGACGGAACGAATACGGTAGCGAATATTTACCGGTATATAAAAAACCCCTCAAATTGAGTTTCTTGATCAAGGAAGAGATATCGCTTATTATTTTAGTTCAACATCTCCAACATTTATATCGTCAATTTTATAGACGGTCTCACAACCGTATGTGAAAATCGATTTTCATGGCTGTTCCTCTAAGAGATCCATATGCAAATATGATTATCGTTTTCTATTCCCAAGACCTTTTACTTGATATATAACTTACTATTGTATAAATTGGAGATTTTATTTATTTTACTTTAAAACTTGTATTCTTTGTATTATACTTTAAATGCTTTTAAATACAAATGTTATAAACTAAAAAGTGGTAGATCCCGTTGAGCTCTACAACTTTGGTATGGAACACATCTCCATTAGATGTCGTTGAATTGTAGATCTGAGATTTTGTAAAAATTAATATGGTATATTATAATGAATATTTAGACCCATAAATGACCTAAAATAATAAAATAGTCAATAATAAAGTTGTAAATATCATCGAGCTCTACAATGTTAATATAAAGTTTGTCTTCGTCTGATTCCGTATAAAAAAGTTATATATATATATACGTGTTTTTTATATAATTTACTCAATGTCTGCGGATATCCGAAAAAATTCCGGATAGTTTCCGACCGTTTTCGGATTCCGACGGATAGTACCCTTACTGTATTCATTTTCGTTTCCAAGAAAAAATATCTGAATTCGTTTCCGAATCCGAGAATTTCCGGATAATTCCGACTGAAACTATCCGAATCCGAAAAATGATCCGGACGGACGGAAACTATCCAAACCAGTTTCATCCCTACCTCTGAGCCGCCAGTAAATCGCGCTAGATCCGTAAATTGGGTGGGGAGAACGAGTTGTTGCCATTTCTTGCTGGGAATCAGGGATATATATCGGTTTCTTGCTGAATTTCACCGATTAGTCTTGGAAAAATTAACGATTACTGAATATTTTTTCGTGAAAAAAAATCAAAACGGGTTCGGTGGATGGATCCGATAATTGGCTCGATGCCTCGATCGTCGCCTGCTACAGATGGACGATGGATGCAACCGGGAGTACGTACACCTGGGAGACATGGTGCCCAGGCTCCAAGGTATAAAACACACAAATTCTCTCAAATTTTTAAAAATTTACAAATTGTAAGTAGATATCAGGTATATGAATTTGATTCATACAAATACCTAACAACATAACAACTCAAACTCAACTTTGTTTCACAATTCATTATTACATACCTAACAAATTATATGTTTGGATGTTATATACCTAGAATCAAAATCTAACAAAAAAAAAAGTTCAAACTCCTTGTTAGTAAAGAAGTTAATGTTCATATCTAAACATTTAAAAAAAATTCATACTCATTCAAATTGGGTATATACTCAATTTGAATCTTGGATCCCATACTCCATGTAGCACAAGTTAATTTACCTTTTCCCCCATATATATATATATAAAAGAGAAAAAAAATGTTTAGTCACTACTAAATTACGATTTTTTATAATAATGTTCCTCCATGTTTCTATTACCGTTAATTAGGATAATAGTACGAATAGATAACCCATCGATCAAAATAGATAATAGATCATATTGATTTCTACTTTTATAGTATAGAGCACCATAGTGGGCTCAATTACATTTTCAATGAGCAGTACAATAAGATTATTTTTTACCTAAATAACTACTCTGTTTGTTTTTTCTTAATGTTTAAACTAAAAAATGTCAGACATTAAAGGATAAGGATAATATCAGATTGCCATATATTTACTGTGAATACTTCTCTGCGAGCAGCGTTTCCTGCCGTCAGAATTCGGCATGGATCCATCGAGGATGGGGAATGCTCTTGAACCTGGGAGGGTTACATTAGAAACTATTAAGAGCGGCGGGCTGGGCGGCCGCTCGCGCGTGCCACGTCGGATAGCTACAGTGCGCGGGTGGAAGTTTTTCGAAAAAGTCCTTCTATTTTTTGTAATTATATATATGTCCTTATAAACAGTACTTGAAGGGGAAAAATCGCGGAAAGGGACTGCTCTGTAAAATAAGGAAAGAATAGGGTTTTTCTTCAAAAATGACGCCCACTAATCTAACCCCCCAGACCTTATCCGCCGCCGCCCGCACCCTCTCCCTCTGCCCGCTCCCTCTCCCTCTCTTCCGCCGCCGCCTTGGCCACCCCTCGCGCCGCCGTCCCCGCCTCCGCCTCACACCGCGGCCCCTCGCCACCGTCCCTGCGTCGCGCTCCCACCTCCGTCTCCGCCCCTCGCCGCCGCCCCGCCTCTTCCTCGCGCCGCCACCGCCGCCGCCTCCGCCTCGCACAGCCGCCATCCCCGCCTCCGCCTCCTGCCGCCGGCGTAAGAATCCAGCCTCGATGTGGTCGGGGGACGGGGATCTGACTTCCCCCGTGCACCGGGCGGTGCCGCAGCCTCCGTCCCCCGACCACATGGAAGGGGCGGCCTCGGGTGGAGCTGGTGTCGTTGCCGCGACCTCATTGGCTAAAGGCCGGTTGTCCGTCGATCTAGAGGAGGGAGAGGTGACAGCAGCAGTAAAGAGTGGGAAGGGGCTGTCAACGGCAGTATGGGGGAGAAGCGTTGGAGCCCGCTTCCCCTACTCTCACAGGGGCCGCCGCTGTCGAACCTGTGTTACCTGGGGGCGGAGTTCAGGTTCCAGCGGGTGGAGCTCGGGGCGGAGATGATGACCGACGGTGAGGCAGTTCGATGAGCGCCATATCTGCTCTTCTACAAGGGCCCCAAGGTCTGTTCGTCCCAGGTCGATGCTAAGGAATCTGACCACCTATGTTGCTTTCTTGCCGCTGCCATCAAGACACCAAGTCGAGCTTCAAGAAGGGCGTGAGTGTTTTCCCCTTTTTTCCTGAGATAAGCTGATTAGTTGCTTTCATGTCATATTACTGAGCTTGTTGAAGTTCTTTTTTTTCTATTTAGATTTTTGTATAGTGCAAACTGCTTGGTGGTGTGTCACTGAGGTTCCTACAGACGTACTGGATGGATGCAGATGTGGTAACAGCCTTCGAGCTAAGCCGGGCCATCGACGATGGAGTGCTGCAGCCTTTGCCCTTTGGTTCGCTGACATGCTGTTCCTTCTATGTGAGGTTGCCAGTACCACGGACTCGCCGTCAGCACTGTGCAACGTCATCCTTCTGCGCTAGACTGACTCCACCCTCTGCTGAGTGAGGTGATGCTAATCACTCATTGCCCTACAAGTGTTTGTTGAAATGCATGCTCTGTGTTGTGACTTGTGCAGTTGTGCTAATGATGGATTTTTCCTGGTGACGATTGATGCAGATCGCGTGCTTTTTCCACTCGCTACAAGTCCGAGCAGCCAAGCACTTATCGCAAGAATGGTCCGTGTCTTAAAACTTTCCCAAACCGTGCATTTGTGTTGTGAGTTTGCAACTGTCTGCCTATCTGTATATACTACTACTTGAATGCACTGAAAACTTCCTCCTGTATTTTTTTTTTGTTATTTACTCTACAACTGGTGGGATATCTTATATGTCATGTTGAAATGTAACCTTTTAAAGCAAAATTGCATTTGGTCGAAATGATGCTAGATGGTATGTTATTTGGATTACAGTGTGAATCAAATTAGGAGGTTGAAGCTAAGTGGTTTTGTTCAAGTTAAAGTTTTTCTATAAAATAATCTACCAAAAAGATATATATTTGATTTGCAGATATGCATTGAAAATTACACATTTGCTTGGCAGTTATACTGTTAGTCCTTATGAATTGTTTAGTTATTTAAGATGAAAGGGAAAATCATTTTATATCACAAATTTGGATTACAGACCTGTTTTCTGTTGTTTGATCCCTCCAGGAAAACCAGCTGCCATTCAATATGGCACTGGTTCAGTTGATGGGTTTTTCAACGAGGATAGTGTTACAGTAGGTGATCTGGTTGTGAAAGATCAGGTATGCACTATATATCTCAGTCACTGACTATCTCTGATCATATACTCCAAAATATTTTAGCACTGTTGCTTCACCGCTTTAGGAATTGCTTCACCGCTTTAGGAATTCATTGAAGTTATAAAGGAGCCAAGCCATATACTTTCATGGTTGCAAAATTCGATGACATTCTTGGTCTCGGATTTCAGAAAATAGCTATTGGAGATGAGGTACCTGTGTGTTAAGACAACATGATCTATAGTGCTATGATATATTGGTAGTCTGGTCCATTCATTGCAAGCTGCTCTTTTTCTTAAATTATTTGTGTACTTTTGGGCTTTTTGCTCAATAAGGGTCAATCCTCGCAAAATATAATCTAATTCATCTCACTCCTTTTTAACTCATTAGATTATCGCTATCACCTTCTATAGAGTTCCTTGCACAGAAACCTCTGTTCTGAAAAGCTGCAAATTATTTGTAGTTATGGTGTTTTTCTTATGCATTCCATATTGGCCAAGGCACCATTGGCTATGACCAAGTAGTCTGCTCATGTGCAAGATTTGTGGGGATCGGATATGTATCATTTCTCCCTACTATTGTTTCCTAATGCGCCCTGGTGTTGTTTCCTCATTTTATTTGTTCCATCTGACCGGGCATGTTGGTTGCTATCCAGTTTTCCCTTTAGTTGGATTCCAAAAATAATTGATATCCCTTCCCACCTTTTCTTTGTGATACCTGAGTCTTTTATTCAACTTGTGTATTTCACCATTGACCCTTTGCAGGTGAATATTTGGCTTTGATTGGTGAAAAATTAATGGAGCGGATATAATCGAACTTGGACTTGCTACGCATTGTCCCATCAGTGGTGTAAGATCCTTTTGATTGCACTATAGATTTTTCATTTTTGGTGGTTTAACGCAGTAGGCTGACACTCCTTTTAACTAACCTATTGATTATTTATTCTTGGCTTGGACAATATGGGGATATTGTGTGTCCGGATAAGAGTAGGCATTATTTGTAGGTAGGACATACAAGAAGTAAATATATTTATAATTTCTACTCTGTGAAGGTATTATTAAGTGTTTTAGCATGTCATAGGCAGAAGTTGCTGGAATGGTAGATAATCATGCCCTCTTTTAAACATAGCATCGGAATTAGAGTAGAATCAAGATGCTTTCCTTTCCTTTCTATTTCAGTGTAGTACCATTATTCTGAAGAAAGACACACAAGACTATCATGGAATAGATAATCCTATATTTATAAGGCGTGTAATTCTTAATTCTTTTAATCAAGCCGAGTGCTATTTTGCTGTGGCTCATGAATCTTTGCGTTATTTGTAAAGCTGTGGTTTATATATTCCTTTGGGAGCTTGATTCTCTTCGAAATTGACTCAATCACCTGTCATTGGTGGATTACCTGTCTTCATGCACCTTTTTGCCATACATGCAAATATGTAGTGTGTAGGCCTCAGGGATAAAAATGTATTTAACAATATGGTGTATATGCAAGCTTAGGCAAAATTTTTAGCTATGAACTTACTCCTTTAGCCTTCACCTAAAAATTGCTTACTATTATTTCCCTGGGGTTGTTCTCAATTTTCTCAACATTACTCATATTCTAGACGTGTTAGTTACAACAAATAATGTGATTGCTCAGCAGGAAGTTCAAGAATATCTGAATATTTGTTGGAAAATGGTTTCTTCAATCCTTAGAATACTCTTGCACTGTTTCAGGCTTTGGTTCGCATAATAAACTGAGAAAATATTATGGGAGTCTTCTCTTCATTGCTGCCCTAGGCAACAAGGTGTATGGATATGCCATCAACCAACTCAAGAATTGCACTGTAAAATGTCAAAAACAAAATGGAAAGTATTTGTGTTCTTATCAAGGTCTTTCTGTTGAGTTTTAAGGATCAGAGTGAAGATCTCTTGATGGTCCATTTGTGTTGGTTTGGATCAACAACATGCCATGTGCTGCTGATAGTATCATGGCGGTTCTTGGGGCCAAGGTAATTGAATTCTTTGCTCTTACAATTGTTTCTCCAATAATGTTTTGTCCATATAGTATACTTTGTATTTCAAACCTATCTTCTTGGTGGGGAAAAAGATCCATATTTCCACCTAGGAAATATAGTAAGCATGTTCATTTTCTGATGCCAAACCCGTGATTAGGACTAGCCATTAGCCATAAGTATTTACTGACCAAAATGTGGACAAAAGTCCTTTTCTATAGTTGTTGAATTTACACAGATCAAGAATAAGGATATTTCTACTTGGACATGTATACAACTTTAGTTGTAAAAACTTGGATGATGTTTAGCCATTTAACCCATGGGCTGATGTCAGGTTCATATTAGTTCTACCAATTACCTCTCATGATGTATGGTGCCATTGAGAATTTAAACATTTTTCAAATTTACATCTTTCTCTTTATGTTGTTATCAGCGGTGCATGACATGTGACATATTTATGCAAACTCACATCACAACATCTATGACTAATAATAGTGTAGACACTACAAATTTTGCTTTGTGTCTTCACAAATCATATATAGTCTAGGATAAAAACATTTACAGGAAGATGTCAAGTGTTTTGCTATTGTACCTAACAAAGATTTGTATTTATAGTTTTAGCTTCAACTAACCACTTGCACTTTTGGATAAATAAAGTGTTACAAAAATTAGGTAATTATATTCATAAAACATTGGCTACATGTTCATTGCACACTTTCATGCTTTATTTTGTTTGTTTGGAATTCCCGGGTCCTAAATATGCAATTTGTCAATGAAAGAAAAGCTTCAATGTTGAAAGATTTATATATTTTTTTTAGTTTTTATGATCAATTTTGTGAAGTGCGCTCACTTTTATTGAACTGAATTGTTATCATGTTTCAGCCATGCTTATCTTACTAAGTTTAAATATGTTGTAACTGTATTTTGGATCTCACAAACCCATTGAATTATCATTGATTGCCCTATCTGATGTGAGGGCATGCATGCCTTCATTTTAGAAGCATTTTCCTTTTTTTTCAATGCTGTAATTTAACCGGTTGCTTCTGACTGTTTGTGTTAAAATTTTCCAAAAATATGTCCCAAATCTTAGCAGTACAATGGTGCTTGCGTCAGATGGGAGTTTCCTAGCCAAACTAATAGACATGGAATCATTCGACCCTATCACACATTGTTTATTGAATTAATGGAGTCAACTGCAGTTAAAACAAGCATTAGTATGTTATGTTATATACATTAAGAAGCCTTTATTCCTTTTATGCTATCTAAGAAATGATAAATTGCGTTTTTTTGTATGCTGCCATATCTTAGCTGGACATGACACATGAAAGATTTATATCCATGGATGGAAGCAATTTTCTAGAGTTCTGAAAGGGAAAATGTTTTAGCTCCTTGGATTGAAGCAGTTCTTTTTATATCTTCAGTTAAATATTCGGTTATCTTCTTTTTTTGACATTTATTTTGCAATTTAAGGAATATACTTATGATTATTGACAAATCCAAATTTAGCTTAGGGTACACTGAGTATTGTGTTACGCGACAAATGAGGAAATTGGTGAAAAATTTGCTTGCTAAGGGTGCACTGGCTATTCTGAATATCTTAAAAATGATGTTTTTAAGAGATCGATGTACCTTTAAGTTATGTCATCAATCGAATTATATACAGGAGGCGCGCCATTGGTTTGTCCTTAAGATGACATATTGTTAATATCATATGAGGTACTCGAATATTTCTTTCTGGTAGAGAGATTCTGAATGGTGCAATATTTACTTGGTGTAAAATTTATTATATCATTATTCATTTATAGGTCATTATAGCATTTGGAAGAATGGGAACCATGTTTCGGTGTGATATGTATGACATCAAACCAAATTTTGTCTCAATAGGCAATGTGAGTTCAGGCTTCAGTAGTACCAGAGTGATTATTGATAAGTATGACAATTCTCTGCTCTCTTTTATTTGTTTGAGAAAAATGATAGAGGATAGTTATTTTTCTGCCTTTTTTTTTCTTTTATCAGCTACCGAGATGTCCACGTCAGAGTGGTACGAGCTCCAGATTAAGAAGAACAAGCTTTGTGACATGTTTGATGAGGTAGTTAGTAAAGTACTTTGATATAATCCAGTACTTAATTGTTTAACTGCATTATTTAACATTTCAGAAATTAAGAACCAAGTGTCAAAGAACAGATCATGCACTGTTCATGATTTTCCTTACACTTGACAACTGATAGATTTCGTTCTTTCATATATATCTTCTGTCGATGACAACTAATCATGATCAATGCTGGGCTGCAAAATATTTTCCTCATTGCTCATATGCTATGACTCAATTCTTTTTATTCACTTTTAGTCCTCATTTACAATATGTGTAATTTGTTGCTGTATAATACTATATATCTCCATCTGAAAACATTACAACTTTTGGGACAAAGGAGAGGGAGTTGACTCTATAATGTTTTGTCAAGATACATAGCCAGAAGTTGCTATATTTTGGGAGTAAAGGGAGCATAATGTATGCAAAATTGTTAGATGTTCCAAGCATGCTTTCTTAACCAACTAATTAGTGCACCGGTGGTGTAGGCGCCTTCCCAATGGTGCATGATTTAGTGAAAGCAAGGGATAACCACTTTGTTAGAGTCAATTTCGACTCGTGATTTGTCCTCTATAGTCGTCGTTTGGAACTACCCCATCTATACCAGAGATGCCTGTCCACCGTTATGACAGGTTAGTTGTAGCAACTGCACATTTGTTGTGATATTTCATTACTCATTTACTCTAGCAATCATGTCCAGGGTTTACAATTTTGATGAACCAAAGTTTGTAATATAGGAAAATTTAAGGTTAATGATTCTTTGAGTTGTGGTAAAATTTCTCCCCTTTTACAGGGACCTAAGCAAGAATAACTTCATGAGCTCACCAGCACCGGGTGATGGGTTTCCAATAGTAACATCCCTAACCACCTTGTGAGTTGTCTGATGACATAAAAACTGGATATCAAATGGACTTAGTAAGGTACATCACAATTAATGGTTCTGTTTATTTTGACAACTTACAGATTTATGAATAGAGATCAACTTACTGGAACAAACCATATTGAGTTCTCCGCAAATGGACCATTTAAATATCAAGTTGCTTATCAAAATCTAGGCCTCCTTGGTGATGATCGTGAGTGGTATTTTGCAATTGCTGATGTTGCATCGTGTGCACTTCCTTACCAACTTTGTGAGTAGTTTGTAACTCATCTCGTCTTTTCTGATATTGCAAATTCATTATTTCTATTTGAACACCATGCTTCTGCGATGGGTTAAATAGGATTTTGCCTTTGACATGTTTTAATTGATCCCAACCCACTGTAAGCAGCTCTTCAATGATTGTGGGATTTAACAAATATCATTTTTTCCCTATTCTATCTGTTGTTTGCGTGTCTCTTGTATTAGATGCATGTTTTTTAAATTATTTTATTGCTGCATTTTCAACTGCAAGACATTTTGGAGAAAAAAACTAACTGTCAGAAATAATTCTTTATGTGGAGAGAAACTTTATGTGGAGAAACTAAAAGCAACTAGGATGGAATTTCCTATTCTAATGGGAGGTTGACAGAAATGTGAATGCTCAACTTTGACTCATCATTATGTACTTGTTTTAAACAAATAATATTTTTATATATTCATTTTGTTGTTTATAATCCCTTATCTGTTTCAATGATCTCTGCTTTTTTATTGGTTAGGACAGCTTAATTTAGAGGATCTCATGGTGATTGCACTTTTCAGCGGTCAAAAGTAACATTAGAGTATATACTATGTATGTACTGTTAGTTGTTAGTACTAATTCAATACCTGATGGATTTGGGATGCTTGATTCATATGAGAAAATTAGGAGATAAGATCATATAGCGTGAAGACAAATAGTAGATACCGGTATGTTGTGAAGTATGATGTTGAATGAGCTAACGTCGAGGCAGTATGACTTGCATGAGCATGTATCTTTTCATGTTCTTTAGACGTAACTTATGACTTGCATGAGCATGTATCTTTTCATGTTCTTTAGATGTAACTTTCTACTGACTGCTCCTCTATATATTAGTTTGTTGCTTGCAACTCTTCGGGTGGAGGATATAGGACGCTGGTGCAATGACTGATGAACCAGTTGTGCATCAGCCTAGGTTGAAAGTAACCTAATGCTGGATTCTCTGGTTCAGATTTTGATAGCAATCGTCATACCCCTCCACCTTATCTTCATGTAACTTGATTCAATTAGTTTTATGAATGATTTGAGTCCATGTCCAATAAGCTCAGGCCTTCGGCATTTTTCACTTGCTGCTTGCTTGATTCTACATGTTTGACACAAGGAAATTTACTGTGGGAACTGAGGAAATGGATTACTCAATAAATATCATTTAAATTTTGTTTACTTATGGTGTAACTGGGAAGGCAATTCTAATTACTGCACTATCATCCAGGTCTTCCAGTTAAGATCTGAGAATGCATCTCTGCAAAAGTGCCTGGCTGAGATGACTCAGAAATATAAGCAGTCTACGATAGAAAATGGCAATCTTTGAGATGACGTGAACACTATGAGAAGAAAGGTATTTTTTGTTATTGTTGTTATGAGCATTTGACTACATCCAGCACTTATTTATTCCCATTGAAGGGCTATGAATTTGTTGATTATAGTCCTGAAGCTATCCACTTAAATAGTATTCTTTCAATAATTAAAATGCTTAAATAGTTTTGTTTTTCTGGTTCTTCTATATGTGGAACAGAAGAGATTAGTCGTGTATTTTTGTATTTTCTTGTTTTAGTTTTGTTGTTAAGAATAACACTGTTCTCGGCGTCTATGGTTTGCTGCCTATGGAAGAACTTTTATCTCTTGAGAAGAACAAAAACCTTCAGATGAGGAGTCCAAACAGGGCACAACCGCACATTCATACAAACCGTATGTGAGTATATGGACAACTCTATTTGATCTGCATGGTAAGGTGTTCTTTTTTTCAAAGCATTCAGTACAATGATGACTGTTGCTGCAAAGTAGGCCTATTGGTAGTCTAGAATTTTCAATCCTGTTTCCAACAACAGTACACAGGGAGATATTGAAAGGAACAACCTGAACCTATTGTTCTATCCCTTTGTATATAAGCTTATTCTGTCTCCAAAACATAACTTGCCTTCTGAATAATGTTTATTGAAATATATCTCTATTGGAGGTACAATTCAGACACTGATTTATATTATTGTTCTTTTCAAGAAGTATTTATATTATTGTAAGTTGTGGTTGTTGTTAAATCTCATGATTTCATATTGTTTACGTTGTCATGGAGCACTTTTGTGTTCAGGTGAATATAGCAGATTAAGGCGTGAGGACAGTAACTGGAATAGGACTTCAATTGTTCACAGAAATGCCTGCAAGCAGCACGCCCTTTTCCTCGGGTGTATCTGACGCAGCTTCTGTTGCTCTCATCGAAGACGACTAGGCAAACTGCAGCCTCCCAGATGAAGCAATTCCTGTGCCCAGTGCGGCAATGGCCTCAAGGTCGCCGTCGATGTGAGGCGCCACCAGCTTGGAGAGCCTGCAGAAGAGAGTCCATGGTGGAGATGTGACACATTCCGAGGCAGCATCAGCCTTGTCAATGCCTGAAGCTACTGCTCTGGAACCAGCTTTGTAGTGCTGCCAATATATGGCTTACTAAGGTTTTTGGTAATGGTCTAATGGAGTTTGTGGCATCAGGATGCATAGTTTACCTTCAGTTCTGTCATGCCCTTTTTTGTATTATCTAATCACTAATATGACATGGCACTAATAATCAACAAGTTATATACAGGAGGCGCGCCATTGGCGCGCCCCATCATCTAGTTTGATGAGAAGATGGAGACAAGGAGAGCAATTGAGAATGCAAACATCCCTCACACATATGTTTCTGCAAATTGCTTTGCAGCTAAATTCAGTCCTAACCTCTGTCAGATGAAAACTCACCTCCCTCCCAAAGAGAGTTGGTGTGTACGGGGATGGTAACGTCAAAGGTAAAAAAGTTAATTACTTAGCTATAAACTGTTGCTTCATTTCTTTAATTTTCAGGAGATGGTTGGGTCTTTTTCTCATGGAAAGTTAGATTTGTACCTTTTCTTCTCTTTTTACAAAGTTGATTTATCTTTGGATCGAAGCGTACGTCCATCTTTTTTTTTTCTCATTGTCAGTGGTCCCATTCGATCCAGATTCTGTGCTGCAAATAACCTGTTTTCAATTCTTCATTATTGGTATTTCCTTTTCATTTTCAGCCATTTTTAGTTGCACGTTTTGTTTCCACTTCGTAAAGTTCATTTCATCTACCGACTTTTCATTTAAAAATATTAATTTATTGATATTTTAATGTACAAATTTATTAGAGCAGGACAAGATTCCTAATGAACGTCTTTTGTTTCTCCATTATTTAATCCATTTATCATTTTTTCACTTATTAACTTTTTCTTGCTGTATGGGTGTGATATACTACCTCTATTTTATATTATAAGTCGCTTTAACTTTTTTCTAAGTGAACCTTTTTTTAAGCTCCGACCAGATTTATAAAAAACTATGGCAATATTTTCAATTTAAAAAAGGAAATTATAAAATATAATTAATTTATATTCAATGAAACTAATTTCAAGAAGTTTAGCATTAAAAAATTCAAAACGACTTACAATATGAAAACGAATGGAGTAGTTAACACTTGTTTGGTTTGGAGATGGGTTGGACTTATCCAAATTTGGGATGAGATGGTCGCAACCATCTGTTCGGCGAGATAAAATGAGATGGTTCTATTTTTTTAAGTGATGGTATATATGTCGACAAAGAGAAAAATAGGTCCTATTGTTCCACCAGTTTTTGAGAGACCAAGCCAATCCAAATTTTAGGGGAACATTTTCTTTCTTAATCCAATTTCACCTATCCCAAAACCAAACACCTAAAAAAAGTCATTCAAAAACCACGTGCTGGTAGTATAGCAACTTGGGTAGTGGCATGTGGATCCAATCAAACTAATATGTTTTAACAAAACAACCTATCCCTTGCTTAGATTAATCATGCGTGCATATCAACAAACAAAATCAATGGTAGTATTTTTTTTTACAAAACGTACAAAGTAGATAAGTTGTTGCACTAACATGATCATTTTTTAAGTTCCCATGATAAATTGCATTCACATGCCAAGTTCGTTTACCACGAGCGCAATGTACTCTATTGTAAATAATTATGTTTTTCATCTGTAGCTAGCTAGTGAAAATATCATGTCCTATTAAGATTTTTTTGGCATGATTTTCTGTGAAAAATAATAAAGCATTAATCACCATCCTTTTCACTACTCATTATTTGATGAAACCATAAGAACTAAGTTAGGGCTATTGAAAACCATTCTTTAGTAATATTACACTCAGTTTAGAATTTCAACTATACTAACCAATTAAGCTGCAATGTTATATGCAGTGTTTTTTGTGTATGAAGATGATGTGGGAACATATACAATCAAATCAATCGATGATCCCCGCACCTTGAACAAGACAATATACATAAGACCACAAGATAACTGCCTCACTTAGAACGAGTTGATCGCGATGTGGGAAAAACTCTCTGGAAAAAGTCTTACCAAATTCCATATACAGGGTGATGAATTTTTGGCTTCAATGAAAGGTAAAAATAAACTGTTTATCGATATATATATTTATTTAATCATAAACACCAAGACTTAATTTAAGTACTCTTGATGGTTGGAGTAGTACACCTGCAACTTCAGCACCACACCAATCATATTGTTTTCGGTTGATTACCAAATTGATAATGTACACTTTTGGCTATGCTCCTTTTTTAATATCATTACTCAAGAGGTTAAATTTCAAACAATGATTAACCTAACTTATCATTGATATGCAATTTTTTATGCAAGCAGATACGAATTTTGCTCATCAAGTGGGAGTAACACATTTCTACCACATTTTCTACGAAGGTTGCTTAACAAACTTCGACATTGGTGACTATGGAGCCGAAGCAACTCTGCTCTACCCAGATGTTCAGTACACCCGCATTAATGAATTCCTAAAACGCTATCTGTAACGGAGTATACAAAAATTTTATAAATATTTATGTTGGTTTACGGTTTGGCAGCTTGCTTCGCTAAGTCAAATTCTCTCTAGGTATGAGAATTCAATAACACCATGCTTGTTTGAATATATGGTATTTGTACTGTTCACAACCCAGCTCGAATATACTCTGTTTTACTAATTACTATCAAGTTGATCAGGTACGTGGAAAGTTCAAATGAGTTAATTATCATGTTCATGTTCAGACTTTTTTGCGAACATTATTGAATTTTCTCATAATTCTCTGATACGCAACTTCTACACTGCTATAGGGGGTACAAAGATACAATACGTGAATCGTGCAGACTGTGAAAATGGCATGAAATATTCACTCGAGTATATCTGTACAATTTGTTTAATTTTGAAATGTTTTTTCGTGTGTTGTGAACGGGGCCTGAAGTATGGTTACCCTTAGCTGTAGTCCATCTTTAATGTATAATCAAACTATTTCAGTACAATGTCAAACAAATAATGTAGAGAAAATCCCTTGTGTACCCATGAAAACTCACCTAATGCCTTCTATACCTTCGAATTTTACCCAATCCCCTGTGTACCCCTGAAATTTCGCTTTGATCCCTTCCATGCCCCTCCTGATAGGTTTCTGTTAGATATGTTACTCAAACCGTGTGTTGTATTGTCAGTATTTTTAGAAAATACCAAAATGCCCCTGCCAACCCTAACTAAAGTTTCAATCCCCTTTCCTTCTCCCGCATCCTCTCCACGTGAGTGGCCTCAGTGTGCCGCCAGCCTGCAGTCCCGCGCCGACATCCCGCCGCCCTCCTGCCGCGCGAGCCATCGTCCCGCCGTCCTCCGACCGAACGCGCCGTCCTGCCGCCCTCCGGCCACGCGCCGTCGTCCAGCCTCCGTCACGCCGTGCAGGGGCGCCGGCCACCGCCCTCCAGCTGCGCGGGCGTCGCCCCGCCGTGCGGGTGTCACCGGCCACTGCCCTCCCGCCGCACGGGCCGTCAGCCACCGCCCCTCCCGCCGCACGGGCGTCTGTAGTCATAACTAATCTGGCAACTGGGAAGAGGCTTGGAAGCTTAGATAAAGCTGAGGTAATTTACTTTTGTAGTTACAACACTTATTCGATAGAAGCTGTTTGTGTTGAAGATAGTTTTAGCAATGCGTGTGATCCCATTGATATGGGCGACCAAAGGCCTTTGATCAACATCTTTGACAGAACATGATTCATCCAAGCTCTGTAAATGTTTAAAGAAAAAGCAAAGTACATCTTCACCATCCAGTGACTAATGATGATTGTAGTTTTCAGATTTGTTTTGTGTGGCAAATTTTGTTGGGTGCATCTAGCTAGATATAGCAATTACGGTTCTTGGTCCTCTTTCTGTTATATTAAATTGAGAATGAAAAGCTTGTCTCTTCGAGTTTCTTAGCGATTGTGTTCAGGAGGAACTATGAAGAGATGAGGTAATTCAAATTCTATTACTGCGAAGCAACAATTTAGTTTGTTCTCTGATGTTAGTATTTAGGGCAATTAAGGGAAAATTCAGTAGATAATATTTAATTTCTGCCAGTCAAAAAGCAACTGGATTGTGTATGTATATCATGGAAAATTTAGTTAAGGTTGCTTTTTGTTGTCATTTTGCAGGTGTACTTCCATGATATACCAACCAACCTGAGCCATCTAACATGAATGTAGCCTTGCCATGTCTGGGGGAGGAAACACCTATAGTTGCACCAAAAATGACCAAGAGCAAGATAAAGGGAAAACCATCATGTTCTAATACTCCTGGTAGCCCAACTATGCGCACAAGGAGCACAGATAAGAGTCCTGCAATGGGCACTAGAAGCAAAAGAAAACTTTATGGACTAAATCATATGGCTTGCTGATTAGGTTTTATTTTGGTACTGTCCATTTCTCTTGTTGAGGCTGATGGATTTTGTTGTTGTGATGCCCTGCAAAGTGGTAGTCATAGTTGCCATATTTTGCTATTGTAAGGATTGCTTCCTCATGATGTGATGATGTACTGTTATGGACCTTGTGCCATTATGCTCATGATATATTACCTAGCTAATTTGGTTTGTTGATTGCACTATTTTGTATGAAATGGAAAGTTGGTTTGGTTCCTGCACTATTGGGTATGGAAATGGAATTGTGTGTGCGCATGATATGAATGGTTATGTATGGATGATGGAAAGATTTTGTTCTGTGCATGATATCGAGTGTTCTGTATAGATATCTCTATTGTTATGTATGATGCTATTGATGCTCTTATTGTACCATAATCAATTTCTTGTATAGAGGAACCAATTTTTTTATAGAGGAAACTGATGACTGTACAGACAGTCAGCTTTTCCTGATCCTATTATTTTTCACAAACAAAAAGTTCAATATATTCCATTTTTTCAGTGCCACAATAAATTTGTTATACACTCATTATTTAGTCTCATAAAATACACATATTGTTCAGTTAATATTTTTTCAATTTTTTCAATCTAGCTGCCACACTCCTCCATCTACAAGTGTATTTTAGACATTTGGAACCACACATAACGTGAAAATGAAGGAAACCTATCGGGAGGGGTATGGAAGGGATCAAAGCGAAATTTCAGAGGTACAGAGGGGATCGTGTAAAATTCGAGGGTATAGAAGGGATTAGGTGAGTTTTCATGGGTACACAAGAGATTTTCTCAATGTAGAGAGGTTGTGGGAAATATACAGTGCAAACCACATGTGTAATGAAAACCTGAAAAAGTACCGTTGGATAAAAGATACTACCAATTTAAGTGCAGTTGTAGGTTTTCTTATCCAACATTTGACCGTCCGTCTTATTTAAAAAATTATGAAAAAAGTTTAAAAACTTAGTCACACATAAAGTACTATTTATGTTTAATCATTTAATAACAACAAAAGCACTAACCATAATTTATTATCAACTAAGACGAACGGTCAAACGTTGGACACATAAACCCACGAGACGGAGGTAGTAGATACATCGGATTTTTCCACGTCATTAAGAGTAAAACTTTTACTCGCAGATTTAATCATAAGTAAAAAATTACTCATTTTTACTTTTGATGATGTGGACAAATCTCAGACATATTTTTAAGCCAACAGTAGTTTTCAGGTTTCCAATATGTATATTGCTGTGACTATATTTTTCCCATGGTTTGATTCGTTGAGTGCTGTTGCAGTGTATAAATCGATCATGGGACCCAGTCACAAGAAAAAAAAGAAGTAAAAGCTTCTTTTTTTTTTCTTAATCACATGGAGCGGAGTCTAATATATCAGCCAACAATAAAATAATTCTCTATTAAGATGATTTCACTTGAAAATATGGTTTAATTTTGCATATACATTACCAATTTAACTTGCTGTATGTTGGTTCAATTTGTTTTTTTTTTGGATCTGAGAGAATACACCGTAAAGGACATTAGGCTGGTTCGGTTTGATGCCTAAAAGAGTCTCACCAAATTTTGGCCATAGACACAAATTTTGGTATGGCCATAGTTTGGAAATGTTAAATTGTGTTTGGTTAGTAGCCAAATTTTGGCTAAACCAAATTTGGTTGTGTGCCTTCAGATGGCTACGCCATTCTTTCTTGTCTCCTCACCTTCTCACCCACGGATCGCCGTTTAAAAGATGAGAGTTTTCATGTTGCAGCTCTAATTAATTACTTTCCTTTTGCTTCATTCAAGGTCGGATTATTATATTTTTTTAATTCTTGAATAATGTATTATATTTTGAATATTTACAAATTTTCTGCTAATATAAGAATGAACGAAGCTGCAGATGAATGCTGTCGGGTGATAATTAAGTATTGGGGAATGGATGGAGTATTCAACTATGTACGGAACAAGAGATCAAAGCAAACAATGAGCAGAAGTGTGAGCAGGAAATAGAATTAAGCCATCAATAACCACAAATATGTAGTCAACAAAGAAGATAATAAAAGGAGAATAGATTGCAGATTTTTTTTAGACAAAGATTGCAGATTAATTAAGCTAGCATTACACTTCTGGCAGCTACCACAAAGCTAAGACGCATGGGACCGCGCACATTTCTGATAGCTACAGCAATCTGCTACAATGTGTTCAACGTAAGCAACTAGTGCCTCCTTTCGACACTCTGGAGTGTTCTCCTTTCCCCTAGGGCCCCTTTGATTTATAGGAAAAGTGTAGGAAATTTAAAGGATTTCAATCCTATAGAAAAAATTACTATGAAACCGTTTGAAACAAAGGATTGAATCCTATACTATCCTTTAAATTCCTATGGAATGGGTAATCTATAGAGATTTTGGAGGAAAGTAGAGGTCCATCCTCTTGGAAAAATTCATTTGAGTCTATCTCTCTCTTCCGATTCCTGCGTTTTTCCTGTGGTCCAATCAAACGGTCATTCCTGTGTTTTTCCTGTATTTTCCAATCCTCTGTTTTACACTTACATTCCTGTCAGAATCCTGCGTTTTTCTATTCCTGTGATTCAAAGGGCCCTCAAACGAGACTTTATAAGTTCATTAAGGATGTGTTTACTTCGTGAAAAGAAAACTTTTGGTTCTCATGGGATGTTTGACCGGATGTCGGAAAGAGTTTTCGGGCACGAATGAAAAAACTAATTTCATAACTCGCTTGGAAACTGCGAGACGAATATTTCGAGCCTAATTAAGCCGTCATTAGCACATGTGGGTTACTGTGGCTAATCATGAACTAATCATGCTCGAAAGATTCGTCTCGCGATTTCCATGCAAACTGTGCAGTCAGTTTTTGTTTTAATCTATATTTAATACTCCATGCATGTGTCTAAAGATTCGATGTGATGTTTTTGGTAAAAAAAATTTTTGGAAACTAAGGGTGTGTTTAGTTGGGGAAAAGGAAATTTTTGGGTGTCACATCGAACGTTTGACCGGATGTCGGAAGGGGTTTTCGGACACGAATAAAAAAACTAATTTCAGAATTCGCCTGGAAACCGCGAGACGAATTTTTTGAGACTAATTATGCCGTCATTAGCATATGTGGGTTACTGTAGCACTTATGGCTAATCACGGACTAATTAGGCTTAAAGGATTCGTCTCGCGGTTTCCTCCATAACTGTGCAATTAGTTTTTCTTTTTATCTATATTTAATGCTTCATACATGTGTTCAAAGATTCGATGTGATGTTTTTGGAAAAAAATTTTGGGAACTAAACCAGACCTAAATCATTGATTGACAAAATAAATGGTGGATATCTTGAGCTACTATCCGTTGATGTGCCCCTCTGCCGTAGGAGGTATGACAGGGTCTCTAATCACCAGGGGCCGTCGTTGAGGCAAATGGGGATTCTGGTAATGAGGTGGAGTAGTTTTTATCTATGGCTAGTAACCGGTAGAAAAGTGAATTAATTAATAAGAATAATTTATGCATAAAACTTTTATATCTATTGTATTCATAAGTGATTTAAAAGGCAATGTAATTGTTTGAAAAAAACATAAGCCAATCTAGAAATTGAACTACGATAAATAATCAAAATCAACAGTTAAATTAAAACTAAGGGCATGCTTAGATCCCCTGGCAAAACTTTTCACCCTATCACATCGAATATTTGGACACATACATGAAGTATTAAATATAGAAAAAAAACTAATTACACAGATTGCGTGTAAATTGCGAGATGAATCTTTTAAGCCTAATTGCTCCATGATTTGATAATGGGGTGCTATAGTAAATATTTGCTAATGACGGATTAATTAGGCTTAATAAATTCATCTCATAGTTTACAGGCAAAATTTATAATTTGTTTTGTTATTAGACTACGTTTTATACTTCAAATGTATATCCGTATATCCGATGTGACACAACAAAACTTTTCATCCCTATATCTAAACTCAACCTAAGTTTTTAAAATCTTGGATGTACTCCCCCGTCACATTTTAAGTATAGCTATGAGTTTCCGTGTTAAATATTTGACCATCTGTTTTATTTAAAAAAATTATAAAAAAATTAAAAATAAGTCACGCATAAGGATTATTCATATTTTATCATCTAATAACAATAAATTTATTAATCATAAAAAATTTAAGTAAGATAGATGATGTTAGACACAGAAATTTATGGTTGTATTTAAAATAGGACGGAGCGAGTAACTGCTATTACTAAGCAGCAGGCAGAAAAACAATTCAAGGACCCGTCGCCATTTTGGAGTAGGTGTAGTAGGTAGGGAGTTGACAGGATATCGCTGTCTCCTAATCAGTACTCCCTCCTTGCAAAAATTTGAAACCTATTTCTTTTTCATTAAAACCAAGAAGCAATTAAATCACTCACCATGTGACAAAATCAATAAACATACAACCAATAAATACTAGAATAGCTTCTTGTTTCGACCAACAATTTAATTTAGCACATAGTAACTACAAATAAGACTCAAATTTTTGAAGAAACCAAAGAATGAAATAGGTCTGAGATTTTTAGAAAGAGGGAGTACTCCAAAATTAAACAATGGTATTGTGTTAGAAGCTTCTAGTGGTTACAACTATATTTTACTGCCTCCGTCCTAAAAAATTAAGAGATTTTAGACGAGTGGATATTTCCTAATAATATGTATCTGGACAAGCTCCCTGTGCAGATTCATATTACTGTAGGAAATGTTCCATCTATCTAAAATATCTTGTATTTCAGGACAGAATGAGTAGATTCTTGGGGTCCGGTGTAGGATCTGAAAATATAGCGGCCAGTCCAAACTTTTTAAGAGAGTGTTTATATCTAGGGGTGTAAAGTTTTGGCATGTTATATCGGGTATTATATAGGCTGTCACATGGGGTGTTTGGGCATTAATTAATAAACTAATTACAGGGGCATTAATTAATAAACTAATTACAGTATCTGTTAGTAAACAGCGAGACGAATTTATTAAGCCTAATTAATCCATATTTAGCAAATATTTACTGTAGCATCACATTGTCAAATCATGGAGCAATTAGGATTAAAAGATTCGTCTCGTAAATTAGTCGCAATCTGTGCAATTAGTTTTTTTTTCTCCATATTTAATACTTCATGCAGGCATTTAAACGTTCGATGTGACGGGGTGTAAAATTTTTGTGTCGGAACTACACCGGGCCTAAGTACTTGTATGTGGCAAAACTCATTGGATGTAGGATCTGAAAATATAGGCCCTGTTTAGTTCCCATGCAAAAACTTTTCATCATGTCACATCGAATATTTGGACACATGCATCGAGTATTAAATATAGATAAAAATAAAAAACTAATTACACAGTTTGCGTGTAAATTGCAAGATAAATCTTTTAAGCCTAATTGCTCCATAATTTGATAATGTGGTGCTACAGTAAAGATTTGCTAATGACGGATTAATTAGGCTTAATAAATTCATCTTGCAGTTTATTGGTGGAATCTGTAATTTGTTTTGTTATTAGTCTACATTTAATACATTAAATGTGTGTCCGTACATGCAATGTGACACACTAAAATTTTTCACCCCTAGATTTAAACACAGCCATAGTGGCCTTTTTAACTTGTACAGATTTGTGAGATGACTGGCTAATTATTGAACTGCACCATTGTAGAATCTCCAACTTCTACGAACAAATTATGGGACAGTACGCCTACATCGAAGCACCAGCTTTGGTGCATTAAACTGGTCACATTACTAAAACTAAACAGCGGCAAACATTATTATGACCAACAACAAGGAGCACAAAACTTGCAGATAAATTTTTGGAAGGATAGTGAGTGAGATTGCCTACTTACATCCCTATATATATATATATATAAACAAATAAACATTAAAATTAGGTATATACTCAATTTGAATCTTGGAGTCCATACTCCATGTAGTACCAGTTAATTTACCTATACACATACACCCCTAGGTATCTGAATTTTTTGTCCCGAATTAATATGGTCGAGCGTGTGGGTGGAAAATACCTATCCCGTTTTCACTCCTACTTGTGTGATTGTAACTTGACACTAGATGAATAGGGTGATTGCTGATCGTGTATAGTTGGAATATATACTATAATCGTGTATTAGGGGGCAGTACTTTTATATGAACGCGGAGCTGAAACAAGCCGATCCAAGCCAAAAGATTCAAGCTTTGTTCTTTACCTTCCCCCTAACCACTCTACCACAGTCAGAGTGATTAATTATAATCGCCGACCCTGGACCACGCGTAGTATATATAGGCCACAATCGGCAGTAAAGCTTTTGTCGAGTCAAGTGCACGATAGCGTGGTTAGTTTGTGGCACTCATCAGAGCTAATTAAGAGCCATGGCCATGGAGAAGAGCCGGGTCCTCATCGTCGGTGGCACCGGCCACATCGGCCGGCGGATCGTGGCGGCGAGCCTGGCGGCGGGCCACCCCACCTCCGTCCTGCTCCGGCCGGAGATCGGCCTCGACATCGACAAGCTCCAGATCCTGCTGGCCTTCAAGGCGCAGGGCGCGCGGCTCCTCGAGGCGTCGCTTGACGACCACGATGGCCTCGTCGCCGCGATCCGGCAGGTGGACGTCGTCGTCTCCGCCATGTCCGGCGCCCACATCCGCAGTCATAACCTCATGCTCCAGATCAAGCTCGTCGAGGCCATCAAACAAGCTGGGAACATCAAGGTAATTTATTTTCTATCAGCTCAACAAATCAGCACATAATTAATTAAAATAACTTGATTTGGCTGTATGAATATAGATGAAAACGCTTCTACTCGAGCATCCAACAAAAACAGAAATATCATGAGCTCCTCAGTTCTCAGCCACTCATTTTTTATCTCAATTTCCATAGCCGTGAATGGTGAGTGATGACAGCTTGGGAGGCAAGGCCCCTCTCCGTCTCCCTCTCTTCTCCCACTCACTCCCTCCTCTTCCCCTCTTCCATGACTAGACGATGGACACAGGCAAGCGTCTGAGGTGACGTCGCTACGGTGGGATGAGTTCAAGGTCATAGTGGAGCTTGTGATCTGGGGATGGCTAGATTTATCTCTGTGGCACACGAGTGAAGGAGGTAGTTGTGGGAGGGGGAGGTCTGGCGCTGAAGGTGACATGCGACGACGGCATGGTCACCGGTGTTGGAGAACATGATTTGATCCGGAGCTATGTGATGATTTTTGTGTTGAGCTTCAGAACTAGGCAACGACCGTCCTTCTCTTCTCACATTCCAGAAGACTGGTGTGCTCAAGGACGACGTCGTCGCTTCACGCACAATGGAGGAGCATCACAAAAGTGGATGGGCGTGTTGTGAATTTTTAGTGTTTCAGTCCATGCATCTGTATGTTTCATTCGTTCGAGAAAATTGTTGCAGTGGGTATTGGATGGTGTTTCATGTTTTCTTTCTTCGATTTTACTCAGATCTACAGATGTAGCTTAAAATCATTTGTTTCATCTACTTATTTGTTTCACTATTTTTTCAAGACTTGAAACATATTTTCATTAACTATTGAAGCATTTTTGTATAAGCGGTTAAATAGCGTCCAATTTTTGGATAAAAAAACAGACGTTCGATTTGTAGTTGTTTCGGAATATAGATATATGATTTCTATCCACTATCTTGAAAAGTAAAAGAAGTTTTATATATATATATATATATATATATATATATGTATGTATGTATATATATATATATATGTATGTATATATATATATATATATATATATATATATATATATATATATACATACATACATATATATCTCATAACTTCAGTAAAATTATGGCAATTTTTACTGATATGATATATCGATGAATGTGAACGATGCGAGTAGATGGTTTTATCTTCTATAGAGTATAGCTCATGGACACAAAAATAAGTTATTTAATTGAGCGATGTTTTAGTGTTTTTTTACTTATATTATTATACTAACAGCAGAAATGATTAGGGGTTAATTTGTCATTTATGTTTTATTCCCCTCTAGATCGATCTGTGCTCATCCGTTGCGTTGGCATTGCTTATATTCTATGGAAAAATCAGAAAAAAGAGAGAAAAAAATTTAGTCACTACTAAATTACGATTTTTTATATAATAATATCCCTTCATGTTTCTATTACCGTTAATCACCTAATTAGGGTGATAGTACAAATAGATTTATTTGAACCCTTTGATCAAAATAGATAATGGATCATATTGATTTCTACTTTTATAGTATAGAACACCATAGTGTGGGCTCAATTACATTTTCAATGAGCGGTACAATAAGATTTGTTTTTTTACCTAAATAACTAGTCGGTTTGATTTTTCTTAATGCTTAAACTAAAAAATGTCACACATTAAAGGATGAGGATAATATCAGATTGCCATATATTTACTATGAATACTTATCTGCGAGCAGCGTTTCCTGCCGTCAGAATTCGGCATGGATCCATCGAGGATGGGGAATGCTCTTGAACCTGGGAGGGTTACATTAGAAACTATTAAGAGTGGCGGGCTGGGCGGCCGCTCGCGCGTGCCACGTCGGATAGCTACAGTACGTGGGTGGAAGTTTTTCGAAAAAGTCCTTCTATTTTTTGTAATATATAAACTGTTGCTTCATTGCTTTAATTTTCAGGAGAATGTTTGTTTTAATTTGCTTTAACTGGGAGGGTTACATTTGATGAGAAGATGGAGATAAGGAGAGCAATTGAGAATGCAAACATCCCTCACACATATGTTTCTGCAAATTGCTTTGCAGCTTACTTCAGTCCTAACCTCTGTCAGATGAAAACTCTCCTCCCTCCCAAAGAGAGAGTTGGTGTGTACGGGGATGGTAACGTCAAAGGTAAAAAAGTTAATTACTTATCTATAAACTGTTGCTTCATTGCTTTAATTTTCAGGAGAATGTTTGTCTTTTTCTCATGGAAAGTTAGATTTGTACTTTTTCTTCTCTTTTTAGAAAGTTGAGATTTATCTTTGGATCGAAGTGTACGTCCATCTTTTTTTTTCTCATTGTCAGTGGTCCCATTCGATCCAGATTCTGTGCTGCAAATAACCTGTTTTCAATTCTTCATTATTGGTATTTCCTTTTCTTTTTCAGCCATTTTTAGTTGCACGTTTTGTTGCCACTTCGTAAAGTTCATTTCATCTACCGACTTTTCATTTAAAAATATTAATTTATTGATATTTTAATGTACAAATTTATTAGAGCAGGACAAGATTCCTAATGAACGTCTTTTGTTTCTCCATCATTTAATTCATTTATCATTTTTTACCTTATTAACTTTTCTTGCTGTACGGGTGTGATATACTACCACTATTTTATATTATAAGTCACTTTAACTTTTTTCTAAGTGAACCTTTTTTAAGGTACGACCAGATTTATAAAAATACTATGGCAATATTTTCAATTTAAAAAAGGAAATTATAAAAATATATTTAATTTATATTCAATGAAACCAATTTCAAGAAGTTTAGCATTAAAAAATTCAAAACGACTTACAATATGAAAACACATGGAGTAGTTAACACTTGTTTGGTTTTGAGATGGGTTGGACTTATCCAAATTTGGGGTGAGATGGTCGCAACCATCTGTTCAGCAAGATAAATGAGATGGTTCTATTTTTTTAAGTGATGGTATATATGTCGACAAAGAGAAAAATAGGTCCCATTGTTCCACCAGTTTTTGAGAGACCAAGCCAATCCAAATTTTAGGGGAACATTTTCTTTCTTAATCTAATTTCACCTATCCCAAAACCAAACACCTTAAAAAAAAGTCATTCAAAAACCACGTGCTGGTAGTATAGCAACTTGGGTAGTGGCATGTGGATACAATAAAACTAATATGTTTTAACAAAACACCCTATCCCTTGCTTAGATTAATCATGTGTGCATATCAACAAACAAAATCAATGGTAGTATTTTTTTTTTACAAAACGTACAAAGTAGATAAGTTGTTGCACTAACATGATCATTTTTTAAGTTCCCGTGATAAATTGCATTCACATGCCAAGTTCGTTTATCACAAGCGCAATGTACTCTATTGTAAATAATTATGTTTTTCATCTGTAGCTAGCTAGTGAAAATATCATGTCCTTTTAAGATTTTTTTGGCATGATTTTCTGTGAAAAATAATAATGCATTACTCACCATCCTTTTCACTACTCATTATTTGATGAAACCATAAGAACTAAGTTAGGGCTATTGAAAACCATTCTTTAGTAATATTACACTCAGTTTAGAATTTCAACTATACTAACCAATTAAGCTGCAATGTTATATCCAGTGTTTTTTGTGGATGAAGATGATGTGGGAACATATACAATCAAATCAATCGATGATCCTCGCACCTTGAACAAGACAATATACATAAGACCACAGGATAATTGCCTCACTCAGAACGAGCTGATCGCGATGTGGGAAAAACTCTCTGGAAAAAGTCTTACCAAATTCCACATACACGGTGATGAATTTTTGGCTTCAATGAAAGGTAAAAATAAACTGCTTATCGATATATATATTTATTTAATCATGAACACCAAGACTTAATTTAAGTACTCTTGATGGCTGGAGTAGAACACCTGCAACTTCAGCACCACACCAATCATATTGTTTTCGGTTGATTACCAAATTGATAATGTACACTTTTGGCTATGTTCCTTTTTTAATATCATTACTCAAGGGGTTAAATTTCAAACAATGATTAACCTAACTTATCATTGATATGCAATTTTTTATGCAAGCAGATACAGATTTTGCTCATCAAGTGGGAGTAACACATTTCTACCACATTTTCTACGAAGGTTGCTTAACAAACTTCGACATTGGTGACAATGGAGCCGAAGCAACTCTGCTCTACCCAGATGTTCAGTACACCCGCATTAATGAAGTTATAAAACGCTATCTGTAACGGAGTATATGAAAATTTTATAAATATTCATGTTGGTTTACGGTTTGGCAGCTTGCTTCACTAAGTCAAATTCTCTCTAGATATGAGAATTCAATAACACCATGCTTGTTTGAATATATGGTATTTGTACTGTTCACAACCCAGCTCGAATATACTCTGTTTTACTAATTACTATCAAGTTGATCAGGTACGTGGAAAGTTCAAATGAGTTAATTATCATGTTCATGTTCAGACTTTTTTGCGAACATTATTGAATTTTCTCATATTTCTGTGATACGCAACTTCGACAATGCTATAGGGGGTACAAAGATACTATATGTGAATCGTGCAGACCGTGAAAATGGCATGAAATATTCACTCGAGTATATCTGTACAGTTTGTGTAATGTTGAAATGTTTTTTTTCGTGTGTTGTGAACGGGGCCTGAAGTATGGTTACCCTTAGCCGTTGTCCATCTCTAATGTATAATCAAACTATTTAAGTACAATGTCAGACAAATAATGTAGAGAAAATCCCTTGTGTACCATAAAAACTCACCTAATGCCTTCTATACCCTCGAATTTTACCCAATCCCCTGTGTACCCCTGAAATTTCGCTTTGATCCCTTCCATGCCCCTCCCGATAGGTTTCCGTTAGATATGTTACTCAAACCGTGTGTTGTATTGTTAGTATTTTTAGAAAATACCAAAATGCCCATGCCAATCCTAACTAAAGTTTCAATCCCCTTTCCTTCTCCCGCATCCTCTCCACGCGAGCAGCCTCTGCGCGCCACCGGCCTGCAGTCCCGCGCCGGCATCCCGCCGCCCTCCTGCCGCGCGAGCCATCGTCCCACCGTCCTCCGACCGAACGCGCCATCCTGCCGCCCTCCGGCCACGCGCCGTCGTCCAGCCTTCGTCACGCCGTGCAGTGGCGCCGGCCACCGCACTCCCGCTGCGCGGGCGTCGCCCCGCCGCGTGGGTGTCACCGGCCACTGCCCTCCCGCCGCATGGGCCGTCAGCCACCGCCCCTCCCGCCGCACGGGTGTCTGTAGTCATAACTAATCTAACAACTGGGAAGAGGCTTGGAAGCTTAGACAAAGCTGAGGTAATTTACTTTTAGCAAAATTTGCTACAGGACACTTAAAGATTGTGGTCTTTGCTGTGAGACACCCGAAGATCGTGTATTTGCTCTTGGACACCGAAAAAATGTGGTAATTTGCTGGTGGACACTCCTCCCATTATTTTATTATTTCCGGCTGAAACGGTGAGAGAAACTTTCATAAAAGACAATTTTGCCCGTGGGCCATTTGTATAAGCCGACCAGGTCCGGCCATGGCTCCAAGGCAGAGCAGCCATGGCTCCCTGGCCGTGCTCTGCCATGGCGGCGGCGCGGCGGCGTTCGTCGGTGACAGCGCATGGCTGCTGCGACGAGCGTCGGCGTCGGCAAGAGGAGATGGAGGCGAACCCGGTGGCACGGCACGGGGCTCTGTGATGGCGTGGAGGTGGCGCTGCGGCAACGGACGGCATTGGCCGGAATTGGGGAAGAGAGAGAGAGGCAGTGGCGCGAGGGGAAGAAGGCTTTGGCCTTGGAGCTCACCGGTGACGGCGGCGCAGGAAGGAGACGGCGCTGTCCACAGCGCAGCAACCCACCGTGATGGCCTCCACGACGCGGCGGCTCGCCGCGGCCGCGCCCTCGTCGTCACCGGTCGGGCACAGGCAGAACCGCGCTCTGCCCATGAGCTCGCCGTGGTCCACCCCTGCCGGGAGGAGACCGTACAGCAGCACCTGGTCGTCCCGCCCCTCCCACCGCGTGAGCAGCACCTCCCGCATGGCGCCGCCACCTGCAGCGAAGAACGCGACCCGTGTCAGGGGCAGGAAAGAGAGAAGAAAGAAGAACAGTGTCAGGGGCATTTTGGTACTTTCAACACTCTTTCTCTCTCTGTTTTCACCGAAAATAATAAAATAATGCCTCGAGTGTCCAGCAGCTAATTACCATATTTTTACAGTGTCCACAAGCAAATACACAATTTTTGGGTGTCTCACAGCAAATGCCACAATCTTTGAGTGTCCTGTAGCAAATTTTGCATTTACTTTTGTAGTTACAACACTTATTCGATAGAAGCTCTTTGTGTTGAAGATAGTTTTAGCAATGCGTGTGATCCCATTGATATGGGCGACCAAAGGCCTTTGATCAACATCTTTTACAGAACATGATTCATCCAAGCTCTGTAAATGTGTAAAGAAAAAGCAAAGGACATCTTCACCATCCAGTGACTAATGATGATTGTAGTTTTCAGATTTGTTTGTGTGGCAAATTTTGTTGGGTGCATCTAGCTAGATATAGCTATTACGGTTCTTGGTCCTCTTTCTGTTATATTAAATTGAGAATGAAAAGCTTGTCTCTTCGAGTTTCTTAGCGATTGTGTTTAGGAGGAACTATTAAAAGATGAGGTAATTCAAATTCTATTACTGCAAAGCAACAATTTAGTTTGTTCTCTGATGTTAGTATTTAGGGCAATTAGGGGAAAATTCAGTAGATAATAAAGAAAGTTATGTAACAAATTGTTGTGGCAAAAGAAACAGAGTTTTCAGGCCAGCCATTGGCTCTGCCAATCAGTGAGAAAGCAAGTGATTACAGATCTAGAGATGACCGAGCGGTGAGGGCAGGGTCGAGCGGGCGAACATGATCTCGCGGGAGGGTGGGGTTGGAAGTTTCCTAGGGGCCCACCTTTTAATATTTAGGAAGCCTATTTTAGCTAATCTTTTGGAGGAATGAAAATTTTAACACTTCAAATTTTGTTTAGGATTCGCAAAACTAAAAGTTTGGGGATAAAATTTTAGGATGTAGTTAGTGATACTCTCACATAGACACACTTTTATCTTATATAAGTTAAAAGAGCCTCATCGGCCATGCAAATCCAACGGCCCCAGCATATTCACAAATAAAAAATAATTTGTGAATAAAACTTTTATATACGTGTTCTTAGCGATCTAAAAGCAAAGACTGAAAAATATTAAAAAACACCAAAATCAACTCCAAATTTTAGGTTCAAAATTCAAATTTTGGCTGATAAGTATAAACATAAGCGAAAAGATGATGTATCAAACATTGTTCTTTACCTACTCCCTCCATCTCAAACAACGATGCTAGAAACTGGATGTGACATATCGTCCTGGATGTGACATATCGTCTGTGCAGATTTGTTCTACTGAGATATATCAATGTCATGTTCAGTACTACTTATATTTTGTTTCTTTTTACCGAGAAGTAGCCCTTACCCAGTCAACAGTGATTATTTATTGGAGTACGATTGAGACCCTTGGTACGACAACAGTAGAACAGGACGACGCGCTCGTTCATATAGGCCACAAATCGCAGTAAGCTTTGTGAAGTGCACGATAGCGTCGTCCGTTGTGTGACTCATCAGATCGAGCAGAGCCATACATGGCCATGGAGAAGAGCCGGGTCCTCATCGTCGGCGGCACCGGCTACATCGGCCGGCGGATCGTGGCGGCGAGCTTGGCGGAGGGCCACCCCACCTTCGTCCTGCTCCGGCCGGAGATCGGCCTCGACATCGACAAGCTCCAGATACTGCTGGCCTTCAAGGCGCAAGGCGCGCGGCTCCTCGAGGCGTCGCTCGACGACCACGATGGCCTCGTCGCCGCGGTCCGGCAGGTGGACGTCGTCGTCTCCGCCATGTCCGGCGTCCACCTCCGCAGCCACAACCTCATGCTCCAGCTCAAGCTTGTCGAGGCCATCAAAGAAGCTGGAAATGTCAAGGTAATTTATTTTTCAATCAGCTCCACAAATTAGTACATAATTAAAAGAACTTGATTTGGCTGTGTATATCTTATTTCTGTCCATTATCTTGAAAAATAAAAAATTTGGTATATATATATATATATATTATAACTTATGTATATATATACATACATATATATATATATATATATATATATATATATATATATATATATATATATATATATATATATATATATATATATATATATATATATATATATATATATATATATATATATATATATATATATATATATATATATATATATATATATATATATATATATATATATATATATAGGACACTCATATGGGGCACCATGGTGCCCGGGCACCATGGTATCAAATGCAAAAAATCACTCAAATTTTTCAAAATTTTCAAATTATGAGTATATACCTAGTTATAATAATTCGATTCATACCTATACCTATCAACAAAACAACTCAAATTTAACTTTATTTCACAATCCATGATTACATACCTAGCTAAATATATGTATGGATGCTATATACCTAGAATCAAAATCTAACAAAAACAAGTTCAAATTCAGTTCAAACTTGCTTTGAACTAGTTAGTAAAGTGGTTAATGTTAATACCTAAGTAATTGAAAAAGATTCATACTCATTTGAATTGGGTATATACTCAATTTCAACAATGGTGCCCGGGCACCATGGAGCACCAAACAAATTTACTATATATATATATATATATATATATATATATATATATATATATATAATAACTTGAGTAAAATTATGGCAATTTTTACTGATCTTTATGATATAAATCAATAAATGTGAACGACAGGAGTAAAAGGTTTTATCTTCTGTATAGTAATAAAACGGACAGACATAAAAACAAGTTATTCAATTCCATTTCCAATGAGCAGCACAATAAGATTTCAATAGATACATACGTCCTACCTAAACAACACTAATCCGTTCGATTTTTTTTAATGTACATGAGAGGATAAGGATGATATATACTAGATTGCTATATACTCTCTGCATTTCACAATGTAAGTCATTTTAGTATTTCTTATATTTATATTGATGTTAATAAATCTAGACAACATCAATATAAATGTGGGAAATGATAGAATGACTTACATTGTAAAACGGAGGAAGTATTTACTGTGAATAATTCTCTGCGAGCAGCGTTTCCTGCCGTCAGAATTTGGCATGGATCCATCAAGGATGGGGAATGCTCTTGAACCTGGGAGGGTTACATTTGATGAGAAGATGGAGATAAGAAGAGCAATTGAGGATGCAAAAATCCCCCACACATATGTTTCTTCCAACTGCTTTGCTGCTTACTTCTGTCCTAATCTCAGCCAGCTGACCTCCTTCCTCCCTCCCAAAGAGAGAGTTAATGTGTATGGGGATGGTAACGTCAAAGGTAAAAAAGTTAATTACTCCTTGTTCCAAAAATTACTACTAAGATGTGACATATCCTAATTCAACGAATCTAGACATACTATTCCTTCCATCCCAAAATATAAGCATGTTTGGACTATGTTACGGTCTCCAAGATATTACTTTGATCAACAATATATATAAAAGTAAGATATAAAAGTAAGATGTTTTAAATAAAAAGAGTTGCATATTATGATAGTTATTTATTTATTTATTTATTTTATTAATGGTCAAAGTTAAAAATGTTTGACTTGTCACTATACTAAAAATGTTTATATTTTGGGACAGAGGAAGTATATTTATTATACTAGTATGTCTAGATTTATTGAACTATGATGTGTTATCTTCGAGTATGAGGTTGGTTCTTTTGGACGGAGGGAGTAGTTAGCTAAGTTGTTGCTTCATTGCTTTAATTTTTAGGAGATGGCTTGTCTTTTTCTCCTGAAAAGATAGATTTGTAGTTATTTTTCTCTCTATTTATAAAATTGAGATTTATCTTTGGATCCAAGCATGCGTCCAGCTTTTTTTTAATCATGGTCAGTGGTCCCATTCGATACAGATTCTGTGGTACAAAACTGCAAATCCCCTACCTTCAATTTTTCATGATTGGCATTTCCTTTTTTTTCCTCAGGCATGTTCAGTTGCACGTGTCTGTTCATCTATCGACTTTTCATTTTAAAAATATAATTTATCCATATTTTAATGTACCAATTTATTAGAGCATGACAAGATTCCTGATGAGCGTCTTTTGTTTCTCCACCATTTAATCCATTCATCTTTTTTCCCCTTGGTAACTTTTCTTGCTATAAAGAGTAAATTACGCTCATGTTCCAAGAACTTGGTGTACAGGTGTAATGTACTACCTCTGTTTTTTATTTTATAAGTCGCTTTGACATTTTTTTTAATTTAAACTTGGTTAGATTGGACTAAATTTATAAAAAAAATATAGCAATATTTTCAAAAAAGAAAGAAAGAAAGTATATGTTATCGATTGACAAATGTTTCTGCCGAAAGGCATGCTTCACTCGGCAGGTTGAAAGTAAAGTAGTAAAATCGTACTCCCTTCATTCCATAATATAAGGCACAACCACTTTTCTTATATGTTCCATAATATAAGGCATACATGCAAGCATGCAATTAACTATGACATCTTCTCCATTAAATTATTACGTTTTTAAATCCTCCACTATCTAATCCTATTGGATGCATGCATTATATTTATTAGGATGATCCAAACTACAAGATGATAATAATTATTTTCTTGGTCTTTGGATTAAGAGTGGTTGTGCCTTATATTTTGGAATGGAGGGAGTATTAATTTCTCAAAAATTAGATCCCATTACAACCCTAGGGGTATTGTTTACTCGAAATCGACTTAGTTAGCATTAAAATAGGGGGTAATAATTGTCTTATGGCCCATCTTACTGGCTCATGGGCTCTAAAGAGGCCCTTACTGGGCTATTTGTCGGAGCTTGCTGGGCGAAGGCCCCACAGAGGGGCTCAACCTTCTTCGTCTTTTCGAAGCCCTCTTGCTACATGCTTGGCGAAGGTGCTTGCCGCCGTCCTCGCGTAGGTACTCCCCTCGCTCGCCTTCGGCGTTTCCTGCGACCTACGTCCTTCGGTGTCGGCTACGCGATTTGATAGTTGTTTCGACAGTCTAGCCGAAGGTTCTCATGACATGCCTCCAACATTATCAAAATAATTTAATTTAGATTCAATAAAATCGATTTGTATAGATAAATATATGTTGCTATATTTTTTCTATAACTTAGTCAAACTTTCAAGGAGTTTAACATTAGAAAAGTCAAAACGACTTATAATATGAAATGAATGAAATGAAGAGAGTAGTTAACATTTGTTTGGTTTGATGACGGGATGAGATGGGTTGGACTCATCCAAATTTAGGATGAGATGGTCACAACCGTCCATTCGGCATGAGAAAAGACATGGTTCTATTTTTTAAGGGTTCAGAGAAAGAGGAAAATAGGTTTAATTGGTCCACCAATTTTTGAGATACCAAGCTAATCTGAATTTTAGGGGAATATTTTCTTTCAGAGTTCATCCAATTTCATCTATACCAAAACCAAACACCTAAAAAATGAATCATTCAAAAACCGACATGCTGGTAGTATAGCAACTTGGGTAATGGCATGTGGATACAGCCATACTAGTATGTTTACCAAACACCCTATCCTCGCTTGGATGAATCATTCGTGTATATCAACAAACAAAATCTTTGGTAGTATTTTTTTTCTAGAAAACGTACGAAGTAGATAAGTTGTTGCACCCAGACGATCATTTTTTAAGTTCTTGTAATAAATTGTATACACATGCCAAGTTCGTTTACCACTAGCGCAATTTACTCTATTGTAAATAGTTATGTTTTTTATGTGTAGCTAGCTAGTGAAAATATCATGTCTTATTAAGATATTTTTGCATGATTTTCTGTGAAAAATAATAATACATCAATTTGTACACCTTCCTTTTCACTACTCATTATTTGATGAAACTATAGGAAATAATTTAGGGCATTGAAAACCATTCTTCAGTAATATTACAATCAGTTTTGATTTTCAACTATACTAACCAATTAAGCTGCAATGTTATATGCAGCGTTTTTTGTGGATGAAGATGATGTGGGAACATATACAATCAAATCAATCGATGATCCTCGCACCTTGAACAAGACAATATACATAAGACCACAAGATAATTGCCTCACTCATAACGAGCTGATCGCAATGTGGGAAAAACTCTCTGGAAAAAGTCTTACGAAATTCCACATACCTGCTGAAGAATTTTTGGCTCCAATGAAAGGTAAAAATAAACTGCTTACCGATATATATATATATATATATATATATATATATATATATATATATATATATATATATATATATATACACACACATCTAATCATGAACACCAAGACGTACTTGATTTAAGTGCTCTTGATGGTTGGAGCCGTACAATTACAGCTTCAGCACCCCACCAATGATGTTGTTTTCCATTGATTACCAAATTGATAATGTGCACTTTTAGCTATTTTCTTTTTTTTAAATACCATTACTCATGGGGTTCAATTTCAAACAATTATTGACCTAACTATCATTGATATGCAATTTTTTTAATGCAAGCAGATATGCAATTTGCTTTTCAAGTGGGAATAACACATTTCTACCACATTTTCTACGAGGGTTGCTTAACAAACTTTGACATTGGTGACAATGGAGCCGAAGCAACTATACTGTACCCAGAGGTTCAGTACACCCGCATTGATGAATTCCTGAAACGCTATCTGTAACGGAGTATACCTAAATTTTATAAATATTTATGTTGGTTTATGGTTTGGCAGCTTGCTTTGCTTAGTCGAATTCTCTCTATATGTGAGAATTCAATAACACCATGCTTGTTTGAATTTATGGTATTTGTACAGCACACAAGCCAGCTTAAATATACTCTGTTTTACTAATTACAATTATCAAGTTGATCGGGTACGTGGAAAGTTCAAATGAGAGCTAATTATCATGTTCATGTTCACACTTGATTGCGAACATTATTGAATTTTCTGATATTTCTACGACACGCAATTGCTACATTGCTATAAGGGATACAAAGATAATACCTGTGAATCGTGCACACCGAGAAAATGGCATGAAATATTCACTCGAGTATTACTGCAACAGTTTATTAATTTTGAAATGTTTTTTTTACGTGTGTTGTGAACGGGGCCTGAAGTATGGATACCCTTAGCCATAGTCCAACTCTAATGTGCAATCGAAGTATTCACCACAAGTCGAGACAAACAATGTATAAATTGATCATGGGACACAATGACAAGGAAAAAAGAACTACTATCTTCATCCTAAAATATACTACTAAGACATACTCCTACTCCTAGTACTACGAATCTGGATAAACTCTTAGTCTAGATTCGTAGTACTATAATATGTCCTATCCAACCTAAATTCTTTATATTTTGTGATGGAGGGAGTAAAAATTTCATTTCTTATTCAGATGGAGCAGAGTCTAATAGACAGACATCATTAATAGAATAATTTCAAGAAAGAAAAAGACAATAAAATAATTTCCAATTCAGATGATTCCACTCGAAAATATGGTAGTACTATAATTTTTCATTAAACAGTAGTCCCTCCATCTGCTTTTGATAGTCATATTTCCAAATCTGAAAAAATTATTTTTGATAGGCATATTTCAATCCAACAACCTATCATCTTAATGACTTTCTCGGATTTAATGCATGACTCTTCATTCTTCCACACATGATTGGCTACATGGGCATTGAAAAATGTAAATATTAATGAATCGCTTGTTTACGAGAAATGACTAGTAGCATGTTTAAATAGATGATAAGTAGAATTACTTATCATTGGTCTGTGTGCCAAGATGAAATATGACTATCAAACATAGATGGAGGGAGTAGCAATTTAACTCGACGCCGTTGATTTGATTTGTTTTTTTATGGGACTAAGAAAATACACCGAAGATGGCATTAGGTCAATAGGCCTTGGGGGCTAGGGAGTGGATGCCCCACTCTTGTTTCCGATCTGGCCGACGGTATGCCATCCGACGGAGCAGATGCGCTCGAGGACTCGGCCTCGAGCGCCCAACCGCCGATTCGAAATTCAAACAGCCGGGGAACGACAAAGCGGTGGATGGAAAAGCCGTTGGCTCGAGCCGACCGTTGGCTGCCTCCCCTACCCCACCTGTCAGACAACCCCACCGCCGCTTCGCTTCACTCTCGCGTTCGAGTCACACAGCAGCAGAGTTGAACGACGCGTCCGCATCGAGCCGCAGATCTTTCTCACCGCCACCGATGGGCAGCGGCGAATCCACGGCGGCGGCGGCGGCGACGATGGCGTGGCCGCGCTGGCGCCGCCGCCACGGCTGGCAGCTCCCCCTCCACCCTCTCCAGGTCCCCCCGCCGCTTCTCTCCCACCTTTCTTCCCCCCGGATTGGATTCTTTGAGGTGACGGTGTGTGGTTGGATATGCGATGCAGCTGGTGGGCATGGCGGTGTTCGCCGTCCTCGTCGCCGCGTTCTACGTCGTCCTCGGGCCGTACCTCGGCAGCACCGTCGCGGGGAACACCCTCCTCGCCCTCTTCTCCTCCTCGGTACGGTAACCTTCTTGGCTGGCTTCTCCTCGCGTCGCGTTGTTGGTTGCTGACGGTGACGGGATCAAACACCAGGCGGCGGGCGCGGCGGCGCTCTACGTGCGGTGCACGGCGGTGGACCCGTCGGACCGGACGCACGCGAAGAAGATGAAGAGGCGGCGGCAGCTGGCGAGGGCCCGCGCAGGCCGCCGCGGCGGCGGAGGAGGGGGGAGGTTGCCGAGGCTGAGGTACGGGTACATCCTGTGGCGGTACGTCGTGCGGCTGCTCCGGCGGGTGGAGGTCCGCGTGATGAACCGGTGGGTGCGGCGGAGCTACCTCGAGCAGTGGAACTCCAGCGTCCAGCTCGACCCCATGCTCCCCTTCGCCTTCACCAGCCTCGACGACATCGTCTCGCCGCACGCCGCCGCCGGCCACGACATCTCCTACTGCCCCGTCTGTGATTGCGAGGTCCACTGCTCTGTTCCTCTCCTTTGCTCTATGGGCCTTCATTGCTCTGCTTGTTTGATTCAAAACTTCAAATAAATATAATTCAGGAAATGGAGCTTAATTTTTTTGATGTGGGTAGATTGATTCACCTAAATTTCATTGCTCTGTTTGATTGGTTCTGATAAATAATTCAAAAAATGTGGGTAGATTAGTTTATGAGAATAGAAGAGGATAAATTCAACTGAATTTCAACGTTTTTGGTTTGTGAAATTCATTAATGTGGAGTCAGTCAGAGGTCAAGATGAAACAATCTGAAACGATTATGTACGAATTGCAGGTGAAATTGCGCAGCAAGCACTGCAAGACCTGTGATCGCTGTGTTGATGGATTTGATCACCACTGCAGGGTAAGCACCCAAGCTATGTGCATTCTTTTCACTCCCAAATCAATGGTTGATCTTTCAATGATCAAGTGACTGAGTTTTTCTATCTTTTTCACACAGTGGCTGAACAATTGCATTGGAAGAAGGAACTATGCATCATTTATTCTGCTCATGTTCTTTGTCCTGCTCATGGTGGGTGCTAAATGCCAATATTTTTTGTCTCTCGGCTTGCATCATTTTTCTTTCTATGTCCAAGAAATCATTTCTTTTACTACAACTAAATAGCATGCAAATCTTCTGTATCAGCTTGTTATTGAGGGAGGAACAGCAATCGCGATCTTCGTTCGCTGCTTTACCGACAGCAAAGGGTTGAAAATGGAAATGGAACACAGGCTTCACATCAGGCTCCCAAAAGGAGCACATGCAGCGTTATCAGTATGTAACCAAGAAGAACATATCATCTCTCTCAATAAGCAATTAGGCACGCATCATTACTGCTGTACAATACTCATAAGGCTACATTGTTCATTATGATATTCTGGGCAGATGGTTTTTGTGATCTTCACCTTATACAGTACTGTAGCACTGGGTCAGCTCTTCTTCTTCCATGTTGTGCTTATTAGAAAGGTGTGCACTTTGCTGAACAAATACTTTTGTGCAGGATAAAGATGATATAAATCATGTCAGCTAATTTTTTTTGTGAACTGTTGTTACTTCAGGGAATGAGGACATATGATTACATCCTTGCTATGAGAGAAGCAGCACAAGCATTTGACCCTTTCGATGACTCTGATTCGTCGTCTGATGAGAGTATCGACTTCGATTCACCAGAAAGGCCATCCTTTCTGTCAAGGATCTTCTGCAGAAAAGATGAATTAAGTGAAGTAAGTACATACAAATTGCAGCACTAGGCCAGTAGTACTAGTTTCAGTTAATCTAACTTGGTGATGACAATACCATTTCATACATGACAGAGTACCCGAAAGCTATCCATCAGGATTGAAAATGAGCCCAGTGATGGAACAAGAAGGAAAGATGACATCCAGATCAACCCATGGACGTTGATCAAGATGAGCAAGGAGAAGGCTATGGCAGCCGCTGAGCGTGCCCGTGAGCGAATCAGGAACAAGCTGCCATCAACAACAACCTCACCGATGAAACCATTACCGGTGGAGACAAAGAGAGGTCCTCTGAACCAAGAGAGAAAGCACATCATGACAGGGAAGGAGATTGTTCCTGTTTTCACCAAGAGCTGGTTGTCAGGATCCCCGACAGCAAGGCTGTCAAGCCCAAGAAGACGATTCTCCGGTTCACCATCTCCGAAACCACAGAGACACCGGAGCAACTTCGATCTGAGACTTGCAGAGGTGTCAAGAGAGCTTGAGTCCCACATCTCAAAGCAGGTTCTTTGCTCCGTTGTCATGAAGGGTGTTGAAGATGAAGATTCTCCATCCTGATGCGGGACGTTGTTTACTTCAACAAGATTCATTTCATTTTTGTGTCTCTCAATCTCTGAGAATTGTGTGATGTGCTTGCTTAGCCCATGCAACCCTTTTCTCAGGTTCATTCATGCTGCTCTACATATACATAGTTGTTTGTATGTTGCTGTTGTGTATTCCAATCTCTGAACACTTGGGTACAGCAATCCATGGTCAGCTACACATATTTCATCAGTTTTCCAGTTCCATTTCACCACATAATTGGATATTTTCCTTAGTTACTCAATTGCTGAAAATGATGTGTTGTATTTTCTACTAAACTTAGTCAATGCATACTAACGACAATGTCATCCTTTCCAATGTAGGACCGATCCAATTTTCTATGCATCAAATATTTTGTGGTTCTTATCTTGCTGTGTCCGTTTTATGACTAATGCTGTCAAAATCACTCCATTTTCTTTTCATAATTTTTACGGTCCTAAAGGTCTACTGGTTCCTTTACATAATGCTGGAAAACAAGATGACTATGATATGTGAATTCTCTATATTTTTACACTCCTAAAAGTATGCCAGGAGGCATCACATTTTCTACTGCAACCTTTACTTTATAATTTAACGTACCATGAGGTATCATAAACTAACACTCAAAGATCTTTTCCATATCATCTCCAGAATCATAGAAAATGAATCGTGAATGATGATTCACAGGACTTCACTTGCAAATGAATGTAGTGGCTGGCCTACGGCTAGTGGCATATGCCGCATAGATTATTATTACTTTTGCAAATTGAGTTATTGGAAAGACTGATTGATTGATATAATTCTTATTTATCACGAATGAACTTTGCAGTACTGTATATACGGAAAGGAGAACTATCTACTCCCTCCGTCCATAAAAAAAAAACTTAGTACAAGATGTGATACATCCTACAGTACAATGAATCTGAATAGACTGTTCAAATTCGTTGTATTAAGATGTGTCGCATTACATACTATACCGTCTTACATATTATTTTAGATAAAATCGGTATAGTAAGTACTACAGCATGGAGTCCTCTTTCGCAGATCCTAGGAATATTGACGCTACAGTAAAGGGTATTTTTCATGTCATTGATTTACTGTTCTTATCCATCTTATCATAAAGGTCAAAACAGTAACATGACCATTTTATTTAAGGAACTTTATATTAAGAAGAATCATTGTGAACAAATTTCACAGTATCGGATATGCAATGGGATTTGGCATTTTTATTAAACCCTCTTGTGTGGTTCAGCGAATGGCCGCGTATGGTTGTGACGAATGTATTGAAAAATGGCTGTTGATTGTTGAGAAAAGGTACAATGGAGAGTATGAAATTCCCATTTGGATTATAGAAATGCCATACTTTTCTTAGTGGTTTCATGACATTGTATAACAGGCTTTCACGGAAAGCAATTTTTTGAACAGTGACTTATAAACCATAGACATATACGAAAAACAAGTTCTGAGAGTACAATTTTTTATACTCCTACTCTTCGGCCCAAAGGCAAATAAAAAATAATGGAAACAACCCAAACCCACACCCCCCCTCTTTAAATTCAAAATTAAGTTATAAGTCACAACAAAAACAAACAACCCTATTATATCTCAAGGATACATATTTAGAACGGGAGTGAGTTGACTCAGTGCGGATCGATTTCAATTAAATAATCCAGTGTGGATTAGGGTTGTAAGGTCTAAAGTTAAAAAGAAATGAGGTATATGTTTCATACCTTTAGCGGATATCCAAATAGTATCCATCGGATACACGTATTATTATTCATATCTGTCGAAAACTTCGATACCATATTCATATTCATATATGAGAAAAAAATATGTATCCGTGTCCGAACTATCTCAGAATTATCCGCTCCGAACAGAAGGGGTGATGGGTATGTCGTGGGAGTGATGATGGCTTCAAGTTCCGCCAGAGCAAGGCAACACATGGCATGTTCCTTGGATGTTTTGAACACAAAAGGTTTGGTGCTAGTATATCTGGACTAATATATAATATTGTGCTACACATGTTGTTGAGAAAGACGATCCTTAGACGTTTTGAACTTGAAAAATTTTGTGGAGACATTGTGCTGATTCGTAACTAGTATAATTGATAGAAATGGACCCAACACAGATGTGGCCTAGAAAAATCGAATATAATTCTTGTGAATTCAAACTAGAGATCCCTCCCTCACATGCACATCTTTTTCCTTACGAGCGTTCCTAACCGATATTTGAATCATGGATTCAAGTACCTAAAAGAATTTAAATGAAAAAGTTATCAACTATAAAATTATATATCTCATTAAGAGCTACGATTTTCATATAAACTTTATCACAATCTGAGTACATATAAAAAAATTACTCACCCATCTCAGAATATAGCAACCTAGGACTGGATGGGACACATCCTAGTACTATAAATCTGACAAGGGGCATGCCCAAATTCATATTACTAGAATAAGTCCCATCCGGTTCTAGTTACTATATTTGGGACGAAGGGAGTATGTTCATATATCCGTAATTAGCGCTAAGGGCATATACAATGGTTGTCAATAGTGGTCTCTTAGTGATGTTAATTTGGAATACTTGTTGACATGGAAGAAATAGAAAGAGGAGAGATAAAACATCGTTGTCATGCATAACAACAGCTTAACAACGACTCTTAATCAATATAATATAGAAATATGGTTGCATGAGGGTAAAAAAAATGGAAAGAATATTAACAAAAGGAATATTTTTTGAGTTAATGATTAGAGACTTTGTCGTCTCTACTATTGTAAAGATTCGGTCTCTAAATAATCTTGTATTGCTTAAGAGACCATACTCGTCTCTACCATTGAACATGCCCTAATATGGTCAGGGTCACAGATGAATTTTCCAATCAACCGATCAATAGGTCAACCTTCCCACTCCAATCGGCTAAAACTGGCACCCCGCTCCAATCCACCTAAACCGGCATTGATTGGTTAATCATTAGTTCCGGGTATTCTTATAACCGGCACTGATTATCCGCCAAAGTACCGGTTCTTAATATGACTTGGCACTAATATCTTCTCTAGATAGCGCAAGAGTGTTTTGTGGAGCAGGAACATCATCAATGCCGGTTTTGTTAAATCGGTACTGGCGACTACGGTTCAATTGCACATATATCCTTAGTGATTAATAAATATACTCCATCCGTCTTAAAATAGAAAAACTTCTAACCTTTAAAATTTATTCTAAAATATAACAACTTATGCATTAACATTTTCTTCCTAACCAATAACAACCCTTCACCATTCAATTTTCCCTCCTCTTATCCAATCATAATCTCTCATCATTTAATTTTACCTACTTTCTTAATAACTAATAACCATATTCAATTATAAAAATATTTATATTTTAGGATTGAGGGAGTATCTTCATTTACGGGCATTTTAGGTTTTTCACAGGGATATTTCCTCGACAACCTCAACCTCACGTCACGATCAACAGGCACCGGTGATCCACAGACACACAGAACATATCTTTAGTGGTATACGCTGCCGGTGCGTGAATGTCGTCGACCATTCAACCGACGGTATCATCCAACGGTTGGGATCGATTTCTAATTTGCAAGGACTAGGGTCTGATTAAGGCACAGATTTTATTAGCATGTTTATAAAATTATTAATCGGTGCATTCTATATAAAAACTTTCTACACTTTAAAATATCATATAAATTATTTTAAAAAATTCAAAATAATTAAACTTAATTTATTATAATGCTAATAGTTTTTCTCTTTGTGCCCAAATACCCATACTTAGGCCGTGTTTAGTTGTTTTGATAAATTTTTTTTTATGTATACGATCACACATTTGAATTATTAAATATAGACTAGTAACAAAACAAATTACAGATTCTGCATGTAAATTGCGAGACGAATCTATTAAGCCTAATTAATCCATCATTAGCAAATGTTTACTGTAGCACCACATTGTCAAATCATGGCGTAATTAGGCTCGAAAGATTTGTCTCGCAATTTACAAGCAAACTGTGCAGTTGGTTTTTTTTGTCTACATTTAATACTCAATGCATGTGTCAAATATTTGATGTGATGGAAAAGTTGGAAGTTTGAGGGGAAAACACGTTGACCTTACTAATCCGAGCTAGTCTATGTCGAAGTCTCGTTCCCTTTATAACTAGCTTAGCTTGCTCCTTTCATCACCTTCTCATATCATCAAGAAACCTCGCGACCTCCACCAACTCCGATCGAACAGCCCAATCGACCATGGCCGCCGCCGCCGCCCGTTCCGGCGCGCATCCGCCATCGTTCGCCTCCTCGCTCGGCCGGTGCAGGGTTCTTCCAGTCGTGGTGGTGCGTCGGCCGGGCGGTGCCGCGAGGCCGTCACCGCTGCTCGCTCCGGCGAGGTGCGCCGCCGCCGTCGGGACGGCGGCGCCCAAGGTGGAGGGCGGCGGACGGCGGTCGTCGGAGCAGGGGCAGCTGGCGGTGGCGCCGGCGCGGCTGGTGGATGAGCTGGTCGAGGAGGCGCTGGTGTGGTCGTCGCAGCACGGCCTCGTCGTTGGCGACAAGAACCACCCGGTGAAGTGACTAGCTCAATGTGTGACCTACGTACTATATTTTTCACATGAATTATTCGTGCAGATTCTTCCTGTCCTTTTAACATGAACATATTTCAGTGATTTTTTTTAAGATTTACTTTAGTGTTCGTCAAAGACATATGTATCCCATCAATTGCAACTACCGGATACTCCTATTAAATTTACCGGGTTTTTCCTAGGCTTAAAAATTAAAATTATTCCATATCATTTGGTAGAACCAGCTAGCTAGCTGCTGGGAAAATCATGCATACGTATCCCATCAAATTGCAACATTCTGTAGATTTTTACTTAAGTAGAAATTATGTAAAAGAAATTTGTGTCACTTTTTTAATCGATTGAATGTGTGAACTACATAAAAGTTAATGAAGAAATCTCGTCACAAGTAATTAAGGTGATATTGGCCAAAATTTGCCTACGAAGTTTATGGCAAGTCCGAAGAAATTATGATTATTGAAGGTTTGATCCCGAGAAATCGAGGCACTCATCGGTTGCTCATATATGTGTTCTTAGCAACATAAAAACCCATGCTAAAAAATAACCACGTAGAAAATATCTTTAAATCAACTTCAAAATTAAGTTTAAAAATTTAAAATTTAGCTTTGCTTTAGCTTACTAGGGCAACCATGCAATGGGGCTCGAGACTGAACTAGCAAGCAACAGTGCTAGTTATCGACATTAAAATTAATTACCTCTAACCAAAGCTAATTAATTTCCTGTGACACATTATACAGGGTTTTCAATTTATTTTATTGATATAATATTTTATCACAATTATTTGACCATTATATCTTCCCCAATAATTGTGGAGCATCCACTTTTGCTATTTGGAGATTTAATTAAACTACAAATCCAATCATCCTATATATAGATGCTGTCCCATCTTAATTGACCCAACCGGAAACAGCCAGCTCAACCATACTGATTATGTAAGTGGGGCCAGATTTGGTTGGGGTGACCAGATAGTGGGACTGAAGGTCGCCAATATGCACGAAACTAGACAAAATATATATAAACATGCCTTTCAAACAATATAGTATATGCAAATATGCAAAAACAAATCAACACGTTCTGCACGAGTGGCGCCTACTGGCCCTTTCTTTATAGAGGGAACAACTTGATCTCTTTCGGTGAGAAAGAACAAACAGGAACTGAAGTTCGAAATTTACCATGTGACAACTTTGCTATAAAGTCGCTAATTAAGTGTCACGACTTTCTGCTTAATTATGCCCAATATTTAGTAAAACTTTTGTTAGGAGTCTATTGGTAAAAAACCACTTAAAATAAATACAGTAACAAACTGTAAAAGATGTCCAGCAAAAACCAATCCCAAAGGCCTTTGTATTATTAGTAGCACACTTAAGCCCTCTTTGTTTTAATTCGATTTTTGGCTTATATGATTTATAAAAGTCATTGGCTTTTAAGCCTTTGTAGAGGAGTCCTACCTCGTCTTCACATAATTAAACAACATTCCTAGCGCTTGGCTTAACAGGATAAGAGTGGTTTATGGATTTAAAAATCTAAATAAAATGTTGTTTGTTTGTTTATGATTGGTTTTTTTTACTTATAAATCAGCTTATTGGTTACTCCCTCAATCCTAAAATAAGTGCATCTAGGATTGGACTGTCCATATTTATTGTAATATGAAATACCACATTCAACCTTAGGTGCATTTATATTAGGACGTAGGGATCAGTATTAGCCACATCATAAAAATAAAATAAATATATACTCAGGACTCAAAACAGTTGGAGTATGGCCCACCCATATCACAAAAGCAAGAGCACATGCGTGGTTCATACAAGCAGCTGCTTTCACTGTTGACAGAAATAGAAAGGACGAAAGTGACTAATTAACTAGCCGTCTTAAAAAGAAGTCTTCAACATGAAAAAAAAAAAGAAGTCTGATTTGATCCTTAACCACCTCCTTATCTATATCTAGCCAGCCCCCAGCCTCATTTAATTTGGGCTGTAGCCCACCAAGGCAATGCTCGTTATTTGGTTTACCTAGTTTTTGCCAAGCTTAATACAAAGCTTTTAAGCGTGGGCTTCGTTCTTGTCATCGCGGGAGAGCCTCATTGGGCAAACTTTCCCAGCAGTTCTAGGCTAGATTGACATCAAAAGCAAAAAATATATTCATCTTCTACTCCTCCATTTCATAATGTAAAGTGTGTTGACTAATTTTCATTAACAAATTTTTAAAAGTTCCACTAAATTTATAGAAAAACATGTAGCAGTATTACAAATAGAAAATAAATATACTATCAAAATAAATATATATAGTAGGTTTAGTACTTTACGTGTCTTCTCAATTTTCTCCTTTCCCCTCCTCTTAAACACACCATAAGTTCCAACCTTCTACCTTTTTTGCGCTAGCTGGAGTGGTATGTAACATGTCCATTTGAATATCCCTCTAATACAAGAAATCAGTTTAATTTATGTAATTTGATGATAATCCATCAGAATTTGTAACATCATTTAAGTTGCTTCTTTACAGCCCCTGATTTCATTTCTTGGATTTACCACTGGCAATGAAAGTCATTTTCAATGCTATCGTCTCTGAGTATTTTTCTAGTTCTTAATTAGCTGTTGTTTTATTTACCTGTAGTTTGATTTTTATATCATTTTTATGAATTGCAACTCTGGAATTGAAATGCACATAGTTTTTTTCATCGTGTCAAGAAGAAATTCACTCATAGGTACATCTCGTGATCTGCAGAGATCAGGAAAAGCTCCCGGTGTTGGTTTGCTCCATGCCCCATTTGCTCTACTGCCAATGTCATTTTCGAAAGTTTACTGGGATCAGGCGGTTGAATTGGCTCCCCTTTTCAATGAGCTTGTTGATCGTGTTAGTTTGGATGGGGATTTTTTGCAGGAGACTTTGGCAAGGTGATTTCTTAAATAATTGACATAAATAAAATTATATGTTTTCAAACTCTCGGGAAAAACCATACTAACAAAAAAATTATATTACCTAAGTTCACCAAAAAAGTTATAACTACATTATTTAGAAACTACAGATTACCCTAGTCTTGAAGTTCTGAACCATCGGTTTCAATTCTTGAGTACTTTGTGTTTTCATCGTGTTATTCTTGTAACAGTTTTAGTTTATCATTTTCCAGAACGAAAGAGGTGGATTCATTCACTGGAAGGCTTCTTGATATCCATGCAAAGATGATGAAACTAAACAAGAAAGAGGTGACCACGCAGCTTATTTTGAAATATACTAATCAATGAGGAATTCAACACTCTGATAATTATTATAGCATTGATTTTATTAATTTTTTTGAAAAAAAAAATTGAACTGTATTATATCTTTCAGGATGTTAGGTTGGGTCTTACTAGGTCAGATTACATGATTGATGGGGCCACTGACCAGCTTCTTCAAGTTGAACTCAACACCATTTCAACATCATCCAACGGTCTTGCTTGCGGTGTATGTGAACTTCACAGGTTAGACAAGCTAAAACACAGATGGACACCAAATGTATTTGATTCTTCTTATTAACCATGCATTCACACATTTTTCAGACAAGCTAAAACATTGAAATATAAGTTTGCTGCCCTGAACAGAATCTGGACACATCGTTAAGATTGGAAGTTCAGAGTCATGAAAAAGTAGCTTCCTCATTTCTTATGCACCCATGGGTTATATGGAAAATATATAGTATAAACCATATATTTAGGGAAAACCTAGAAACTCCTGTAGCATTCAAAAATGAACATTTGAGATTTGTGATGGATAAATCTCAGAAGTCCATTTTTGTAATCTTATGGTAGTTTTTAAGTTTCCAATACATATTTTCCCAGATTATTCTATGATTTTTAGGCGTCATGACTTCAAATATGTATATATAGACCAGCCAGTTTGCTCGATTTTGCATGCAGAAAGAAATTTAATTTAATATATCGAAGTAGTTTAATAAGTTTGGCAACTTAAGTTGTATTCTTGGCATGCTATTTATCCTTTTGCCCACTTTTATTGTATTATTGTATAATAAATTACTGACACCAAAATTTATATAACAAAGAACAACCTGGATGTAATGTGCAGAAACCTGATTAGGCAGCATGAGAGGGAGCTCGGTTTGGATCCAGAGAGTGTTGTTGGGAACACAGCAATTGCTCAGCATGCTGAAGCATTAGCTGGAGCATGGGCTGAGTTCAACAATCAAAGGTTGTAAGCTGTTATGCATGACCTTTCTTATGCATGACTACTCTTTACTAACTAAAGTTTTGGTCATCCAGTTCAGTAGTTCTGGTGGTTGTTCAACCAGAAGAAAGGTACATGTATGACCAATATTGGATAACTGTCGCCTTGAGAGAAATATATCCTTGGGTGCTTTCAAGAATCAAAGAAACTGTTAACTATTGCTGATTTCTGAAATTTTGTAACTGTCCAATTTTGTGACATCCTTGAGTGGGCAAAGCTGATTTGATAGCTGAAAAATGCTTCAGTGTTTACTGGTTTAACCATGTATTTAACCAAAATATCCACCCAGCAATTAAACAAAAAATAGTTTCCCTTAACTTCGTTTCACGTATGGGGTGACGACAATTCGCAAAACAATGGCTGCAATAGATGCAGAAGGAGAGCTCCGTCCTGACGGTACACTAACAATGTAAGGATTCTCCTGCAGAAATTTGGATATAATGTCACGTTACACGATTTCAGACTATCGAACATGATTTATTTTCTCATGTAGAGATGGATTGCCAGTTGCTGTTGTGTACTTCAGAGCAGGTTATACACCAAATGATTACCCTTCAGAAGCGGTATGTTATTAATCATCTTCATCCGTTCATTTTACTTATCCAGAAATTAACCTTCCTATCTCTCACTTCTCTCTGTATTTTTTCTAAGGAATGGAGAGCAAGACTCTTGATTGAGTGTTCCTCTGCTATTAAGTGCCCATCAATAGCACACCATCTTGTTGGAACCAAAAAGATTCAACAAGAATTGGCAAAAGAAAATGTGCTCGAAAGGTAATTTACATTGGGGAACATGATATTCTTTAAAATCTATAGTTTTTTATGCCTAACAAAGGCTCATATTTTTAACATGTCAGTTAATCTGATTTTGTGTGAACTTACTACAATTCCTACTATAGGTTTCTTGACAACAAAGCCGACATAGAAAAAGTTCGGAAATGCTTTGCAGGGCTATGGAGCTTGGAGAATGACAGTATAGTCATGTCTGCTATTGAATCACCAGAATTGTTTGTTCTGAAGCCACAAAGAGAGGGTGGAGGTACCCTGCTATCTTATATACTTTGCCTTCAAATTATCTGCATTGGTATCTAATGAGAAACTCTTGTGTTTCATTCAGGAAACAACATTTATGGGGACAATCTGCGTGAAACACTGATAAGTCTGAAGAAGGATGGAAGCAATGAACTTGCAGCCTACATCCTAATGCAGAGGATCTTTCCACCAGCATCACTCTGCTATCTAGTCCGAGATGGCACATGCATTCGGGAAAATGCGGTTTCTGAATTTGGAATTTTTGGAGCCTACCTGCGGTAATAAATCGTAAAACTGAAGTAAGAAGCCATATTATGTATTGGATATACCTCAAATTTTGGCCTCTGAATTTCAGGAACAAAGACAGGGTCATTATAAATGACCAGTGTGGTTATTTGATGAGAACCAAGGCTGCCTCACTGAACGAAGGTGGGGTAGTTGCTGGATACGCATTTTTGAACAGCGTATTCCTGACATGACATGGTAAGACATGCGAAACATGTGTATCGGTTTGAATATGGATAATTCTCCAAGCAGGTTATCAGAGAATTCATAATTTGTATGCTATTACTTTTAGCAGGAATCATACCAATGTTATTTCCATGACACACTTTTTTTTATTTGGCATGATTTCGCTATCAGCCGAGATTGAGGTACCATTATTCCCATGTATAAAAATGTTATAGCTATCATATTTTAATGTATGAGTATCAATTTGCTTATATTGTCCTGAAGTTGATGAGTTTACCGGTCCAGTGCTTTCATTTGAAAAGACAGACATTGTAATTTTGTATGCGAGAGTATGTTGTAATATTTCTGTTCTAGTAGACCATTAGATTGTAAGAATCAATTGACTCATGCTTCAGATATCCTGCTCTCCTGAAAGCATTATAGTTGCAGAGAGAAAAATAGTCCTTTTGGTGCATAATGGAAGAATTTCTCGTTTCCTTTAATGCTACAAATGGTGTAGGATCGCAAAAGATCAAACAAACCTACCAGGGGGGTGAATGGTAGGGAAAACCAAAAACCCAAAAATCTTTTGCGGAATTAAAGATTACCCTCGAACGAAGTCGATGATTAAATCCAGTCGCCGCCAGTCAAACTGCCCTCCTGTCGCCGGTCAGACCACCGTAGCTTCGCCGGTCTGACCGCAGTTGTGGTCAGACCGCCCGAACACCTGCGGTCAGACCGCCGCTATCCCACTGGTCAGACCGCGCGCACACCTGTGGTTAGACTGTCGAGACCCAGAAACACCGGTAGATGACAAATTCGAAGATGTAGATTGAAACTTTTCGACTTTATTGCATCAACTAGTGTTTACAAAGTGCACCAACAACACTCCTCACCAAAATCTCGAACTAAACTCGAAACTGTAAAATCAAAGGTGTTTTTGATTATTATTCTGTGATGAACAATTGGCATTGGAGATTATTGTTTTTGATATTTGGAATTTATTTGCGAAGTGGTTTTGGAGATGATTGGAGTTCACATGTGAATCTACAGTACTGCTGGATGTGGTTCGGTCAGACTGGGCAGGTGCTGCCGGTCAGACCGGCGTGTATTGCGCGGTCAGACCGGCACAGCCCGTGGTCTGACCGGCCGACTCTGTGTCGGTTTCGGTTTCGGGTTGTTTGTTTGGATATGCGTGATTGTTTCATGATTATGACTTCTAGATGGACACTATGCGTATGTAATACTGTCGTTTGCTACTAATGAGTCAAGTTGGGGATAGCTTGGTCTCGGAATATGGTTTCTTTGTTTGTTCTATGTGTAGGTGACTCGAGATGCCGGGAGAGAATTTGCGGTGAAGGACCGGGAGTCGGCTTGGGGATAAGACGATGTCTGTGGTGGTTAGAGATCATGCGGGATACTAAGGCTAGAGTCAATGCACGTGGTTGGTGAAGATTCCATATGACATATGATAGAGATATTGTATGCGTATGGGATGCGGAGTCGAATTTGGGAGGAGTCCAAATTTGGTATGATTAGTTATGTAAAGTTTGTTTCTTGTACTAGAGGGTTTCCTATGGAGATTAGGACTTCTAGTATGAGTTTGGTTCGTAACTTTAGGCTGCCTACCTTGGATATAAATAGAGAGGGAGTGTGAGGCTTCCCGATATTGCTTTTGAGAGCAATTGAGTTGATAGTTTAGTTAGGGTTTCGAGTTTAGTCGAGATTTTTGTAAGGAGTGCTGTTGGTGCACTTTGTAAACACAGAGAGAATCAATAAAGCCGTCATCCACTTTAAGAGTTCTTCGATTTGTGTTTCACCGGGTTTCGACGGTCTAACCAGTGGCAAACCGATGGTCCAACCGGTGGCAAGGGGGCGGTCAGACTGACGGGTGACCTGTGGTCGGACTGGCGGCGGCTACAGCCACAGGCAGGCGATTTGGGCGGTTCGACCGATTGATCTACATCGGTCAGACCGACGTGTTCCAGGCGGTCAGACCAGCGCATCTACTTCGGTCAGACCGCGATCCGTCGAATTTGAGGGTAAGTTTTATTTCCGTAAAAGTTTTGGTTTTTGGGTATACCAACCATTCACCCCCCTCTGGTTGGCTTAGTTGTTGTGATTCGATCCTACAAAAACACTTTCTCTCAACTCTAGTCTCTCTAAAACCGATACCGGGAGGCCTCACCCTCCCTCTCTACTTATACATGAGGTAGGCTATGCAATAACACAACTTAGGACTCCTAACTCACATAGGAAACCCTCTCTTGCAAGTATACAACTCATCTCTTTCCTTATCTTAATCAAACTTCCCGAATTCGGACTCCCTTCCAAATTCGACTCCTCTTTCCATACATACACAATCCCTCTTGTATACCATATGGATTTCTTCATCACCACGTGCATTGTCCTCTAGCCTTTAGTATCCCGCATGATCTCTTGATCCCTGGACATCAACTTCTCCCAAGTTGACTCCGATCTATCACCGGCAACACTCTCCCGAGGCCTCAAGCAACACCTGCACATGCAACAACTAAGAAACCATATTCCGAGCCCAAGTTCATCCCAACTTTACTCACATTAGTATAACAACAGTATCCATACACATAGAAACCATCTAGAAGCCAAATCCCCGAAGGAAATATCCAAATACAACAAAACAACCCGAAACCGACATCGATCAGGATCCTGCCGGTCAGACTATCGGGCCGGCCGGTCAGATCGCCGCAACACCTACGGTCTGACCGGCGTCATTCAGCTGGTCTGACCGCTAGGGTCAACCGAAAACATCCACTTCACAAAATCAACCGTCTTATAAAATCTCCAAATAAACATTAGCAAACCACCAATATTTTCATCACAAAATATAAATCAACTCATTGATTCTACAAATGGGTCATCATAAAGCATCTTTCTTTGATTGTGTACATAAACCCATATGAATTCAAGGTTTAGAACATTAGTCTACCACAAAAAGGAAAAAGGTAGATACACACAACTAAATTGTACTTTTTCATTGCCAATGTCTCCCGAACCTAAACTGGGACATGAAGATATCGGAACCAAGGGCATTAACATTGCAAAACAAAAACGAAGGTATATGTTCAGGCTTCTAGCTTCTAGCAACATCAGCCCCGGCCTCCTATTTATTTGGTACCCAGTATCTTCCATGACATGAATAATTGTAATCTTTTAATTAGTATGGCAAGATTTGAATCAACAATACTTATTTCATTCAAGGTTGCAAATACCTACCAATATATGTACTGTCTGTTCACAGTAATGCATCACAACTACTATTCACTTACCAACATTTCCATGATAATAGATTTGGAATTGCGTTGGTGTAGAAGCCAGATTCTTAAACCATTATTAAAAAAATATTTGGAATTGCTTCTTTGTTTTAATAATGTACTTCCGTAACACTTAAAAAATTATAGGAGTATAAAAATATTCTTTTTGTTGCTTCAGTCACGCGTTACGACTTACAAAAGTGACAGCCAAAAACATCTCAGCTAATCAAGAATAAATATTAACTAGGGGGAGTTGTAATATTGTAAAAATCAATAGCCTCATTCTTCAGCAATCATGCTATCCTTAAGGCATTATAATTGCAGAGAAAAAAAATTAGTCCTTTCACGGCATAGTGCAAGAATTCTCATTTCTTATTGCCATAAATGGGATATCAAAAGCATCTTTATTTGATGGTAAAATTTGCTCCATGACACTTAAAATTTATGTAATTTGCTAGTAGACATCGCAAAAACGTGTCATAAATAAAAGACATCCTAAAAAAATTGGTAATTTGTTGTGGATTTTTTCGGCTCGTGAGAGAAATTATTTAAAAAGACGAGAATGTCCCTAGGGTCAAAAGCTTTTGAGCTAATACTAGAGTGAAGATGGAATTCAATGTATCCTAGTGATGTATTTGAGGTGATGGTAAATTTATAGTTGCATAATTGCTAAATTTTCACTTTAATGCTATGTTTGAAGCATGTGGTCATAGGGACATTCTCGTCTTTCTTAAGAGTTTATCTCTCCAATTGAGCTGAAAGTGCCTTCTAGCAAATTTACCAGTTTTTTATGTGTCTTTTAGCAGTGACATATTTTTTCGATGTCAAATTACATAAAATTTAGGTGTCATGTAGTAAAATTTGTATTATTTGATGAATACATAAACCCATATGAATGCAAGATTTATTACATTAATAATTTAGAGGTAATTTTTTTCAGTATTTAGTCCACAATAATAGCAACGTAATTATCTGATGCAGAGTTTAGATGAGGCGAATCATTGTTCGCTGAAACACAAAAATATATGCAAAGGTGGAGTTTGTGGTAAGATTATTACCAGCAACATACTCGTTCTATCCTGTCCGTAAAAATACTAAGTCGAGAACTTTTACGGTACATTCTACTTGAAGTATATACTTGCAGTATATGCAAGGGTAGATTTGGTATTCATTAAAAATCTGAAAATAGCTGTTTAGTTATTTGAAATTGAGATTTATTTCCATAGGTGGTAGTTTGTCTGGATCACGTCATCCGTTCGTGATAGCAAGGGTAGATTTGGTATTCATTAAAAATCTGAAAATAGCTGTTTAGTCATTTGAAATTGAGATTTATTTCCATAGGTGGTAGTTTGTCTGGATCACGTCATCCGTTCATGATAGTGCTTCTTCTGGATAAATCGCGTATCCCCCGGCGTCCTTGACTCACGGAATACTTGCCTCCGGCCCTAGCGCCGCCATCCCGAGTCCTTCAAGCTAGGAAGGTGGGAGATGCTCGCAGAGGTGGTCAGCGACGGCGGTCGCCCATGCGCGCAGCTTCGAGAAAATATTGGCTCCTACTGGATTTCGCTTGAACGGATCTGACTAAGTGAAGAAACTCGAATTTACAAAATTATCCCCACGCAAAAAGATGAAAAGACAAATATACCCTATTCAATTTATACTGCATGATAATTGGGAGGAAGATCAAATGAATCTGCACCATTAGCCCCTAGATCAAGGGGCAATTGCAAATTTACCACTACTTTAAATCGTTATTGCAAAACTGCCACTAGAAAATTACAAAAATACCACTAGAACTGTCATTCGAGTGGCATCCTTGCAATATTGAAATAACCGGTGGCAAATTTGCAAATGCCCCGATGATCAAATATACTGATAGTATATTCTTACAGTACAATGTACCATAAAAATCCAAGTCTAAACCAGACAATGAATCTGTTTGTCCAGATTCTTTCCCGGGATTTTTTTTTGACAGAAGGACAACTCCACTGTAATATAATAATAAGTCTGTTCCATTGCATTGTTGTTTTCCGTGGGTAGATCAAGCTTTTGGGAACATGCTTATCTTATTTATTTAAAGAATATTCTTCCT